ATACAAGCAGTTTACCGGCGGATTAGTAGTTAGGTGGGTGACCACTAGCGAATCCCCGCTGTCGTATGTTTTTGCCTTTTTTTGCCTTTCTGCATTTAACACGTGATCAGTCTTGGCACCTCCTACTATTGTGTAAATTTCCTGCGAAAGTTTTTCCTTATGAGAAAGTGGATACGTAATAAGAGTTCTTAAATGCGAAAAAAAGGCTACGTCCGAAAATACTTTTTGAACGAACTTGGAGGCTTGATGAAAAGATTTAATACCACTATAGGTATCGCTGTTGCGCATAGCGTTGACTAGAAGAAATCCAATGTGGTCGGTTGAGTCATGTGCAGAGTGAGTCTTCGACGCAGCTTCCAATGTGATGCAAAAGAACCACCTGGTCATTCCCCACATGCGTCAACAGCCCGGAACTCCCTCACGCTCATACTGGGCCCTCTTTCAGGGAAACACGAAAACCAACGCATCTACCTTCTCCCCAAATCCACATTGAGCACCTCCACCATATCCTCATTCTCCGCCCCCTCAAGCCCGAAAAACGGCTTAATACCCTTCTCCACGACCCCCTCCATCAACCCATTCACAAGTCCCTGCAAATCGCTTCCCGTCTGCCTAAAATCCGGAAAAGCATTGACTTCCAATAACCACGTATTCAAGCCTCCAGTCTCCTCATCCAGTCCAACCATGAAATCCAGACCAAAAACCTCAAAAGAGTTAGGCAGCGGCTGGAAATGAATGGACATCCCTCTTGCCGCAGCTTCAAACGTTGAGCCAGTAATATCGCAGATTTGCTGGAAGATTGCATCCTTCCAGTTTGATGGTACGTTTACTTTGCGCTCCGCATCCCCACCCTCACTGTTAGATGAGCCGGAGAAATCTGGCTGGGCGGGCAGACTATCCGGTAAATCCCAGAACAACCCCACCGAACCCTCTCGATCCCCGCTATCCTGTAGACAGGTGTTGGTCAAGTGGGCGCGCATAGCTTTCTGGCTATTAGGCTCGACGTCGGCGGACCAAGGGGGCAGGTAGGGGTGGGCTGCGAATAGGGCGAGCATGGGTTTGTAGACGTAGAGTTTCAGGGCGCCGGCGGCGAGGATATAGGTTCTTATGTGAAATTTTCGGAGGTCACTGGTGGGGTTGTTTGGTGGGGTAAGGAGGAGAGGCGGGTGGATGTATGGTTGAGCGATGAAATGGCGGAGTTGGGAAGTTATGATTCCGTTGTCTTCGTCTTTCTCTATTTTCAACTGTTGCGCATTGGAATCACTGCGGGCATCTTCTTCTTCATCTTCGTCGTCGCTGTCTGGATCCCACTCCTCGAATATCTCAGTAAGTTCTTGTTCACTTGAGAAGAGGCGGATACCCTGGCCTCTATCACTCATTCCCGGTTTCAAGATCCACCATTCCTTTTTGCTGGAAGAAGCGCCATCTTCATCATCACCAAGCTCTTCGTTTCGTGCCCAGCTTTCCTTCAGTTCCCACGCCTCTACTAGCGCATCGTCCAGAAATTCGGCATAGTCGACTTCGAATTCCACACTGGGCTTGACGTGCTTCTTGAGAACCGAGTCGGGGTACTTGGTAATCCAGTTGGCAATGGTAGTGCTAAGGTAATGCTTCCGGATCAATGCTTTACGAATTACGTAGGCATTGGCCAGGGAGGTAGATGAATATTCCATAAGGTGGTCGAAATCGATAGACTCATACTGAACAAACTGTAGAAGAGGGGATGAGGGAGTAGGTAGTTGGGATAGCGAAGTGATAAGTTCGTATGACGATGTAGGAAGTCGCTTTTCCAGGGCGGAGAGGATGAGGGGCTGGACGTAAAGATCTTCGTAGTTAATCAAGGCGTAAATCTTGTCGCCGATCTTAGACCCTGAAGACGCCATGCTGCCTGGCCTAAACCCCTGGACCCTTTCTTTTCCAGTGCCTTGATTTCTCTCCGGACGGCGTCGCTATGGCAACCACCTGCAAGAAAAAGGAGAGGACCTTGAAGTGGGTATCTTGCGGATAGCGTCAACGATGCGGATGCAGGGCCCAATTTTGGGTATGTGAAAAGAAAAATTGATATTGTACACTAGTGAAAATCGTTACTGTAAGGCTGTGGTGAGCCTCCATGTGGTATCCAGAGCCCAGAAAAGTCGAAATATCCGTTTTCGCTTAGCTCTAGCCAATCAGCGAGCTGTATTTGTAACGCCATACCACCATCCCCTATGATGTCGGGATATTCTTCGCACGTCAAAACGCCTTGAGAAAAATTAATCAGACAACTTCCAAATCATCATCGTCGTCGTCATCGTCGAGGGCAGCGATGAGTCCTACGTCGAGTCCGCCAAGGCTTTCTCGGCCAGGCTCACGTATGCCCTTTCCATCCAACAGTAGACGAGCCCTCTTCTTCGCAGGACTCGCCTCACGTGTGCCGCGAAATGCCGAAGGTATTACTTTCTTGGGGGACGGAATACGGCCGTATTTGAATGCCCACCCTACCGGATCGGTGGAGGTGACCGACTTGCCCGAAGCGGCTCGTTTCCGCTTGACAGGCGCCAGGGAGATGTCTTTAGACGTGCGATTGAGAAGACTTGAGAAGTCCGTCTCGGCCGGCTTGTCTAGCCTTGAGCTGGTCGAGATGAGAGAAGAAGGACGTGCTCTGGTGGGTAGGCTGGGGGTGCCAGCGCCTTTCGACCGCAAGTAATCTGCTCCAGTAGTGCCGTCTCCTATACTCCCTAGCTTCTTAGCAAGTTCACGCTCCTTCTCCCTCTCAGCCAGTTGCTTTCGAAAGCGGTCCTCGCGGCTTATTCCCCCTTCCCAGTTTTGGTGATCCCGGTCGATGAGCTTGGCAGCGCCTCCAGGTCGTGGAGCAATGTACACAGTCTCGTGTAGTTCGCGATCATGATACCTTCCTTCGCGCTTAAGCTCGTCACCTTTAGAAGCGCCGCCTCGGCCAAACATGCCAAACTTGCTGCTACTTGGGCCTCCACCAAAACCAACCATGGTGCTGACTTGCATACGGCCTTTCTTTGCCTTGTCGACCTGAAGCTGGATGTGAAACTCGCAAAACTCTGTTTTCCGGCCATCAATCCATTGGCCGCAATCCTTTCCATCTTTCCTCTTTGCGTTGCAAAAGTCCAGGTCTCGTGCTGTTCCAATTTCGAGTATGGTGTCATCCGAGCTGGTCAGCTTCAGAGAAAACTTGCCTGTATCGCGGTTCCGTGGCGGCATGATGTCGGGGTTTAAGATGGCAACAACTGTGCCGAGGGGGAGTTTCCAAAACTGGGAAAACCCGGTATCGAACAAGAATAGATCCAGCTCCCACTTGAGGTCTGTCAATTTGATCACCATGAATTTGCCGTTTTGATCTGTTGTAGATTCTTGACTGCTTTTAGTCTGATCCTTGGCGGCATTCTTGGAGTTGTGCGGTGTTGACTTGTAGCAAATGACACCTAGTACGACATAGTCGTTTTCCCAATCCGGAGGTTCGTATTCTGGTGCCTTGACCGTCTTGAGCAACTGGGGAATAGTGAGAACAGTTTTGCCTTCTAGAGTGCGTGTGACGACATTGTGTTGCATTTCGCGCGACTTCAAGTGCAGACCAGAAAAAGGCTCAAAGCTAGGGGCTTCTGAGCTGTCATCTCGGGACGAGATTTCGGCGTATCGAGAAGCGGTTGGGATTGAGCCAAAACTGGAGGAAGATGCCTTGGAAGACGAGGACACTGGGCGTGAAGCGTCGTTGCGGAAAGACAAGGTGGAGCCAGGCCGAGGGGAGGGTGGAATTCTCAAATCGACTGAACGGCTCTGAGGTCTGGTACGTCTTGAAAACGGCGGGGGCATTTCGCGCGAACTTGGTGTCTCAGAGCCTTGAGAAGAACTGGTCCTGGAAAGTGATGGTCGCTCTGCTAAGCCTTCGATGGTGTGCAAGCCGAATCCCCTGTTTCTCCTCAGCTCAGCCTTTTCCTCCCTCTCTTCGCGGTCCTTGTCCCTGTTCCTGCTTTCGGCAATGCGCTCGCTGAAAGATTTGATCTTAGGGGTCTCGCTGCCCTTGAGCGACCCCGCTCGCGCCCGCCCAGCCAGAACGCTCGAAGGCCGCTTGAGACTAATATCACGTGCCGTCAATCCTTTGTCGATGCCCAGCATGACTCGTGCAGGACTCTTTGGCTCGTCGGGTGGTGGTCGTGTTCGGGTGGGAGAGCGTGGCACCTGTACGCCCGTTTCTTGACTGCTCAAGGGCGATGGATCGGCCCTACGCATGGTGCTAGCTATGCTGGCTCGTGAGGACGCTCCATTGCGGTCAGCGTCGGCAAATTCTGCTTTCTTCTTTTGCAATGCCTTTAGTTTTAACTTTGCCTCGATGGCCTGCAACTGGAGACGCAGGGTTTCTTCGTCATCGTCGTCGCCATCGCTCGTGGGCTGGGTGTAGTCGCGCGACATGGGGCGACGCTTCGAGGGGGAGGGTGAGACGGAGTTGCGCTCGCGGCGACTCTCGTATTTTCTGCGTGCAGAGGGCGAGCTGAGCAATGCTTCCACAGACGATTGCGGAGGCCAGTTGGGTTGATTATCCTTGACTGTACGGATACGCTCAGCGCGTGTATTTACGATAGTCTCAGCGCGGATGACGCACCTTTGGCCTTTGGACTCTCGCGCACAATCATTGTTGTGGTGGTGCAGTGTTGTGAGCGTGTATCTCTCAACAGGGCCCATAGCAACACGGGCAGAATGAGGCTCTCAATGGGTGTGTGCCTGGGCGTTTGAACGTGTGAGTGTGAGCGCAAATGTGTAGCCGAAAGCCGTGGGCGTTTGTTGACACCGGGTTGCGTGGTTGACCCCAGACATGACAGTGCCTGTGGGAACGGCTTTCTCATCTAATCCGAAACTGGCGTCTTTGCAGGGGTCGCGCGTTATTTGCACGCGACGCGACTGACCACCACCACCTTAGCGCCAGGAACAGAACAGAAGATACAACCCAGATATTATAATAGACTTGATTTATACGAACATCAGACACCATTGCTGCAATGGCACGAACACGCTCAAAACCTGCCAAAGCGACACCCACAGAAACAACGCCAGAGCCCATCACATGCACCGCAAAGTCACTCCCCGCAAGTGCATCAAACCCACCCAAACTCTTTGTCTTGCCCAAGAATGCCTCTCAGGATGCGCGCATAGTCACACTGGATAATCCTGCAAACGATACACCGTCGCGCTACTTCTTTTGCCCAGAAAGGGGCTTCTACGAATTCACTCGCATTGCGGCCCCAAAGAAGGACTGCCGAAGTTGGCTCATCACAAGTAACGATGGCACTACACAAGAACAAGAGGAGAAACGAGACATAGATGCCTCAAGAATAGGCAGTGGATATGTCGCCAAAAGCGCCGATCTATTCATCGCCACGCCCATTGATCTGCTCTTCCTCATCCTGCCCGCGCTCGCACCCAAGTCAGCAAAAGACACAAAACAACACTTCCTTGCGTTCGACGACTACCTCGACACGCTCTCCTCTTCATCGCCGCACTGGAAGGCCCTTTTATCACAACATGCATCCCTAAAATCCATGCTGGAAAAGCGCATCCGCCTCATCTGCGACACTGTCGATGCTGGCGACGAAACCATGTACCGCATCTCCCTACCCAAACTCCTCGAAGTGCTCGTCGCAAAAGCCGAACGCATGATACAGCGCGGCCTCCCCGCCTCCCTCGAAGAAAAGTTCATAAAAACCGCCCTGGAAATCCCCATCATGAGCATCAAACGCGAAGAAAGCACTCTAAGCGCCGTCTCAACCAGCAACACTGAAACCGGCGAGTCAGAGAACACCATCACAACCACTACAACGACAACAACGACAACAACGCAAGAAGATACCGTCACCCCAGCCCTCACAACACCCCCAGAAATCCCCCACCTCCTCCGCCTCCGCACATCCCTCACCTACCTAACATCCTCCTACCTGCCTCCCACCCTCACATCCCTCCTGACCCCTCTCCTAACCCCACGCTTCACTCCGCTAACCACGCACCTCTCGGCCATCGCCGCTCTAAAAGCTGAGGCCGCAGCGCTCCGCAGCATAACAGACAATGTGTCGCGGAAGCGGGCGGTGCTGGAAGACGACGACAAGATGGCGGAGCGGGAGGAGAAGAAGCGGAAGAAGGAGGAGGAAGATAAGAAGAAGAAGATGGAGGGAAGGGGCATTAAGCAGTTGAAGAAGGTGGATACGAGTGGGATGAGGAAGATGAGTAGTTTTTTCACAAAAGTTGATAAGAAGAAATGATGTTTTTTTTTCTGTATTTTGGGCTTCGGGCTGGGAAGGCGAGGAGCGTATTGTATTAGTAGAACATATGTGCATTTGTATAATTAAACATTTCAAGCGGGACAGACAAGGAATATATATATCTCGATATTTTCTCATTCATCTAAACTACAAAGTCGCCTTTACTCCCCCACCGTCATTACCTTCTTATTTCCCTCGACCCTATCCAGAGGCGCCCGAGGGGGGGACTAAGACACGATCCCGCTAATTCCTAACGGTTTCCGAGTCGCAGCTCGGTTATCTATGTATGTACGCTACCTACAGTCTGCTCCCTTTCGCGCATGGGCAATCAACGAACATGGTCGGACAGCCCTCACATCTTCTTCCCCAAACATTACAGAAATTAAAAGCTCGACCTACAACACCAAAGTGGGTGGTTGCAGAGGCTACTCGAAAAAAAAAGTGCTGGCTTCTAGCTGTCAGACACTTTGTTTCCTCTTCTTTCGTAATCATGGGGGTATCCTTTTCTTTCTAGAAAGAAGGAAAAAACAAAAAGAGGTGGAGAAAAAGAGCAAGAGGAAAAGGAGAAGGCCAGGAAAACAAAAAAACAGCGCTTGCTATGCAAATATGACCAAAAGCGGGTATATGCACCAGAACATGTCAGAGACCTGACCTGATAGGTTTGAATGACCATTGCTCCGCCATCCCTGTCAACTACGCAAACTAACATCAAGACGAACGGGCTGCGTGCGGCCGTTAGACCTTGTCGATTGACAGGAAAGAGGTGGAATGCTCACTTCGAGCTCGCTTGTCGCTGGCCTCGCGTTCAAGCGGCTCCCCACTACGCTTCTTGGATGACTTGGCTGAACTGCTGGAGCTGTGTGCTGATTTGACTCGCGTCCAAGAGTCGAAAGAGATTTCTAAGTTAGAGTTAGTATTAGATAATTCAGGAGGAACAGTTGGACAAAACTTACCCTTCTTGAATTTGCGAACAGTCGGCGGCGGTGTGGTGGCTAGAGACGGTGCTTGAACGACGCTCTTGCCCTTGTTCCGGCTTGGCGTGGCAACCGTAGGCTCAATGTCGGTTGTCGCTTCCTCGTCATCGTCGTCCTCAATACCGTTCCTGCAGTTGCGCTCTTTGATCTCGGCTTGGAACAGCAGTTTTGGCTTGATAGATGACCTAGTGAGCGGACGACGGGCCTCGTGACCAATCTGGCGACGAACTCGCCTGTCATCGGCAGAGAGTTCATCTTCGTGCTCGGCATCCGAGGCGCCAGATGGGGCGTCGTCATGGAACTTGCGGAAAACCTTGCGGCCACGGAAAATGTAAACCATACCCTCGTCACGGTCAACTGCCTCCTCCATCTTGGCCGATTTCAGGTCCAGCGTCTTCTTTGTCTTTTGGGGAGCCCTCTTTGCTTTTCCCTTACCCTTGGTGGTGAGGAATGGGTTCTCTTCGGTTTGTGCACCAGGTGTGGGTATGCGCTCCTTGGAGTCCGTGTAGATGGGGATTTTCTCCGTGGTCTCATCCATGTGCTTTGCGAAACTTTCGAGAGTATACAGGTCCTTGGTCTTGCGCGATTTGCGGGGAGTTGGCATGGCCTCGTCAATGGTAGAAGGCCGGTTGGTAGGGAACAAGACCCGCGCAGTTGAACTCACGTCGTCGACGCGGCGCTTGCGGGGCGTCTTGGCTGGTGTTGGTAGCATGCCCGGCGCCATTGTTGCAGAGAAGAGAAGGCGTCGGCTTGAAGATGGTCCAGCGCAGTCGGAGTCGGAGTCGTGTAGAGTAGAGTTCAAAGGTGCGCGGCGGGTAGAGCGTGGAGAGCGGAGTTGCTGGGGTGAAGAGGGAGGCGAGAGAGCCAAGGCGTTTGCACGGACAACTGGTGACTTTGACGTAGCTGTGGGAGTCACGTCGCGCCTAGCTCGTGGGGTTGACTGCGCGTGGTGAATGTGAATGTCGCGTCGGGCGGCGACTCTGCTGGACCGACGCGGTGAAAACGGCTCGTAGTTGTCTCCATGGTGCGGTGCAGGCGGAGTGCGCAGGCGACGGGGCGGCGACGGGGTGCGCTCCATGTTGGGTGTTTGCGTGTTTGTTTATGGGGGACAGTTGCGATGTTGGTGTAGCAATGGGTATGAATAGTGGGTATCCAAAATCAAAACAAGTCAAGCGAAGCTCCAATGACACTGCGCGCACTTGTCCCAAGGCTCAACGGATGCTGTGGCGATATGCGCGGGCGTGGATGCGATAGTTGGGCTTGGTGGTGAGGGTGAGGGTGAGGGTGAGGGTGCAGTCCAAGGGCGGGTGGAGACAATGGGGGCTGCCTCAGATAGGGAAGGGTCGATGCAAGATGAAGGAAGTGACGAGGCTGGGAGATGGCGGGTGCTGTTTCTTGGCAAAGCGGTCAAGGCGAGCGCACATCAACAAACGCCCGGACCCTCCACCCCCCCGGCCTGCCCTAACCGCCTAACGCCTGCCCCGCCAACCCAAATACGTCAAACACGCCAAACACCTGTCAACTCGTCCGAAACCCTGCCAGCTCCAACAGTGCTACGTGTTCTGCTCTTCCAGGAACACGAAAGCAAGGCGGCGCACAATGGATCCACCAAATCTGGGCGCGCTGCACCTCTCCGACTCCGACACGGACGGCGACGCGTTGTTCGACACCCCCGCAGCGCGCAAAACGAACAAGACAAAAGATGTTGAAAGCGATGCAGAAGGCGTCGCCAGCTCCAGGCCACGCGCCAAAGAATCACATTATACTGCCGAAGAGGCGCGGGAGGAGGCCTTGCGCAGGGAGCTAGAGAGCATACGAAACGTGAACAAAGTCATTGAGGGTGTCATTGAGAGCCTACAAAAGGCCAAAGACAACATGGCTGTAAGGGACAAATTCGGAAGACACACAATGCTTCAGCTAACATGTTCCCAAGACCGTGGCACGCACTGTGCAAAATGCATCCACCCTACTGCAGACATGGACCCGCATCCTGTCGCAAACCGAACACAACCAACGCCTTATTCTGAACCCACAATGGCAAGGCGCCTCGCAAGATTTAGTTGATATCGAAGAAGAGCAAGCGCATCGCCAACAGGCTGCACAACGTCGCGCAGCTGAAGAGCAGGCACGGAGAGAAGCCGCAGCGAGGAAGATCGAAGAAGACCGTCAAAGGGCCGAAGCTGCAGCAAAACCAGGAACGCGGGGCAGGGGCAGAGGACGACCGCGGGGTGCTTCGACATCATCGACAGGAAATTATGTCGGAGTGGGCGGACAAGGAGGGCGAGGTATCAGCCGCAGCGATTCTACTAGGGGCAGAGCCGGTAGTGGCATAGGGCGGGGACTGCGAGGGCGGGGACGAGGTCTAGGCTGAGCACATATCCCACTAAATAGGAAAAAACATTCAAAATATTCCATCCGACCTTTCTCACCTTGGATCTTTCTACCTCGTCATATGGCAACATAGGTACGCTTGGTCTGACTCAACTCAGCACTCGCATTTGCAGTGCATCGGGCACTGGCGAATTTTGGTCATCTGGACATCTTTGAAAACGAGAGTTATAACAGCAGTCGACTCTGCGGATCTAGAGTCCAGTGTCCGTCAATGACGCTTGCGCTGATACCTGATCAACCTTGTGGCTTGTACCCTGGAGAAGAGTGCACTATCGGAACTAGGACGGTACCTGCAGCTCGCATGCTCGATGCAGTCAACGGACCGGATCTGGTGTCGTCGGATGCACTTCTCGAAATGGCTAAGCTTGGGGACCCCACTTGTCGTCAGTTGGACCCCGCTGCGCCAGTCTGAGAGATCTTGCGACTCTCCGCGAATTCAAATTGAATCCTCTTCCCTGTTTCTCAAACTTCTTGTCGCCTGATTTCCTCTGATCCTTCTTTTTTTTGTCGCTCAAGTTGCCCATCAAACCACGTCCACATTGGCCAACATGGAGGTTCCAACGGCATCGTCGCTACGCGACATTTATCCAGAGGACGCGCTCCCAGTCGAGACCAAGCGATGGGACAGCTTGCTAGCCAGATTCAAGGATCTTTATGGCAAGCAGGCCGACTTCGTTGCCAGGAGTCCCGGTCGCGTGAATATTATTGGCGAGGTAAATACCATGGTAAAACTTTCCATGGTTGGTGGCTCATGGTACATAGCACATTGATTACTCTCTCTACGAGGTACTACCAATGGCCATCACGGCCGACTTCATCATGGCAGTTGCCGTCCGACCATCTGATGAGAAGCCCCGTGTACGCATTGCAAACCTCAACTCAGAGAAATTTCCCACGCGCGAGTTCGACATCCCCGAAGGAGAGATTCCGATTAATGCGACAGAACATGAGTGGACCAACTACTTCAAGTCTGGTCTCAAAGGTGTAACACAGCTTCTGCACAAGAAGCGTGGTAAATTCACGTCAGTTGGAATGGACATTGTATGCGACGGAACTGTCCCAAGCGGTGGTGGTCTCTCAAGTTCGGCCTCCGTTGTCTGTACGAGTGCATTGGCTGTGTTGAGCGCGAATGGCGAACAAAACATTGACAAGACTGAATTGTGCGAGCTTGCGATTGTATCTGAGCGTTCAGTCGGTGTCAACTCCGGAGGGTAAGCAAATACCCCGGTTTGTTATCTTCATAACTAACGCGTTTCAGCATGGATCAAGCAGCATCAGTCTTCTCTCTGCGCGGCTCTGCCCTCTATGTTTCATTCAAACCCAGCCTCAAGTGCACAAATATTGAATTCCCACAAACCGATCCAGAGCTTGCCTTTGTCACAGCTCAGAGTTTTGTTGCAGCGGATAAACATGTCACAGCCCCAGTCTGCTATAACCTGCGTGTAGTGGAGTGCACTCTCGCAGCAGTTTTCCTAGCAAAGGCATTCGGCCTGAAGAAGGACCTCCCAACAGACTCCTCACCACTAGGAGTCAGCCTACGCGGCTTCCACGACACTTACTTCGAAGACAAAGAAGGCGTAGCCGATAACACCAAAATCTCCGTCTCCGAGTTTGAGAGCCAACTTACAAAGTTGATCCAGCACACAGAAAACTATCTCCCACAAGAAGACGGCTACACCCGCGACCAAATCAGCGGCCTCCTCGGCATCTCCGTCGACGAGCTAAACCAGCGCTACATGTCCAAATTCCCCGTCCGCGCAGACAAATTCATGCTTCGCCAGCGCGCCCTACACGTCTTCACTGAGGCCCTCCGCGTCATCAAGTTCCGCTCGCTTCTTGCATCCCCACCCTCAAAAGACAAGGACTACCTCCAATCTCTTGGCGACCTCATGAACACAACTCAAGACTCGTGTCGCGAGATTTACGACTGCAGCTGTCCCGAGCTCGACGAGCTATGCGACTTGGCGCGTGCGGCGGGCTCGTGTGGTAGTCGCCTCACGGGCGCGGGCTGGGGTGGATGCAGTGTGCATCTTGTGCCCAAGGATAAGGTCGAGGCTGTGAAGAAGGCATGGATCGAGAAGTATTACAAGAAGAAGTTTCCGGATATCACGGAGGAGAAGCTGGCGCAGGCGATTGTGGTTAGTGAGCCTGGAAGTGGAAGTATGCTGTTCAAGGTTACGGGCGAGAAACTTGCTTAGATCCTAACTTTGCAGCTGTGAATGTATATGGTTGGGTTTGAGAAACAGGCCAGTGATTTATATGCTGGTACTTCACACACTCTAGGTGTGTTGCTTGAGGAAAAAGAGGTTATATAGGCTTCATTCAAAGCTAAGAGGAATTGAATTTTTTGCCTAGATATATCAGTTTGACATCTACACATGACTCGGTCCAGTCATCACTTCAATTACTTTCACCCTTACGGTATTCACTTACCTGTATTTTCCATATGATATAAACATGCTGCTGTTCACACTCTCAAACACGACCATCACGACATACCTGCAAACAGTCGATACAAGTACCTCTAAGACTCTGCAATTCCACCTTTCAAGTGTGTATTCCTCATCCACAACCACGTATTCTCTTCCCCTCTTCCTTTTTTTCTTCCCCACTTTTTCTGCGCCGATATGGCTAGACGCCGCAGCAAGAAAAAGTCGCGAAAGCCACGGGTCCGCACCGAGTCTAGTGGGAACGATACTCCCCTTTCTCCGCAGCATGTCGATGCGAGAACGAATAATCGGCGGTCTCGAGGCGCGAGTGAGCATATATACGGGCAGAGCTCGTATACTGGATCTAGCGCAGAACTTGGGGTACGGGCATGTACGAATTTGGATCAAGGTTTCAGCGAGGAAAGCATACGGCGCCAACTTGGGTTTGTGGGCGGTAACCCAGCACGGACGAATCCGTCAATGCACAGGACATGGGACGAAAGTGGGGTGGATTCGTGGTGGTATGCATGCGGCTCTTATGTGTCGACGAGCGGTATAGCTCTATCATCCACTTCTGGCGAGCAGGAGACATGGCAGGATTGTGTGTATCAAGGCGCATTTCTGCATGGTGATGTTGCTGCGGCTCAGAGAGATGCGGAAGGCATGGTTTTTGGGACGTCATCTTGCGGATCTGTAGCGAAGCGGGGAGAGGGGGAGCCGCAGTGGGATGTTAATGCGTATTTTGCGCCGCTAGATACGCGTCATATGCAGATGGTGAAGAGGGGAAAGGGGAGGGCAAGAGACGAGTGGGAGTGTGACTTTTGCGGACTCGAGTGTTTTTGCTGGGGTCTGACGGACGGAGTAACAGACGAAGAGGCGGTGTCCTTGTAGGCGGACTAATTGGCGGGATGGGATTTGGGTGGCATATTGAGAGGCGTTGCTGAGTGGCCAGATTTGCAGTCGTTGGCATTGAAAGGGAACTATGCCGACTGACGTTCCAAGTTGGTTGACGGCGTTCGGTACCCCGTCTCGGAAAATGTCAAGCGGAGCATGGTGGTGTTCGTCCAAGAAACATGAAGCATCCAACGAATATGAGTGCTCTGGATGCCCCTTTTTATGTACTTACTTTGTGCTATTGTGCCAGCTTGCGCCGTTCTGCGTAGACGGACAAGCATCCTATCCACGTGATTTTGCATGCGGCTAAAGCGAAGTAAATAGATGCCCTCTTCGTCCCGCGCGGAAGCAACTCCATTGCTACCCATCCGTATTACCGAGGCCGTGCTCCTGGGAAATGGATATGACGCGCACGCCTTATGACGAACGAAGCTATCGCCCGCTACCGTTTGCAGATAACCTCATCCGGTCTGTTTAGCTTGACCCGAAGATAAGCTCGCTGGGGAGCCGGTATGCTGAGAAGCTGAAGCTCGCTCGTTGATGGCTGTGCCCCTATTGGCAGCTAATCCGATGAACCCCCTTGCTTTCGGCCGTAGGACGTCGCGTGTCTGTGCAATGTATATATGCAGTACATCTTCCTCCCTCGCAATTGTCTTCTCAGCCCACAAGTGAGGCGGACCCCCCTAGCTGCTGAGCTGGTGTTATTGTTGCAGGGTTTGTCAACCCACTCTTTCAGGGTCGAATGACCACATCCCATGCCGCGCCCGTTTCCGAGACCCACTGTTCTGAGATCACCAAGCATCCACGTGCAGTTTGTAGCCACAATCGGTAAGCTCATCGTAAGACAAAAGGTGGCAGTTCGAGCCCATGAACTTCGACAGGGGTCTCGCCCTGAATCCTTTAAGAGAAGGATATTCTCTTCGCCTGCGAATGCGTTGATCTAACGAAGAAGCAAGACTCAGTCGTCGACCTATTTCGCTGGGGGCCTGAAGGATAGCTTTCTGCCAGTGGGTAATGCGAATCGACCTGAGCAAATCGGCCGACCGTGATGCTCCCACATCATGGTATGTAGTCGTATTAAGCACTGGTAGTTCTCGACCCATGATCCATCCTGGTGGGTGTCGGTATAGTGAAGGCGAGGGCGGAAGAAGAAGTGGGGGATCCTCAAACCAAAAGGAAGGAACCATGACCCTTCGACCATTAGCTAATAATTAACAGTGGGGGGAAGATCTATGCAGCAGCTCTATACCCAAATGGGTTAAATACACGTCATTTTGCGGTAACTAGTAGACTGCATGTTTGGACGTAGCACGTCGGTGCAGGTACTGTAAATGAGACGGCGTACATGCCAGGTATGTTGAGTATTGAGACTAGGATCACCAGGCAATATTTCCTTCACGGTGTCGATGCTAACGTCTGTAGCTTGTGCTACAGCTTATAAAAAGTTAGTTTCTGTCACGAGTACTTTGCTTGAAGATGTCAGCGTGAAGGGCTCGATAGTGAGAGTATGGATGAAAACGATACCAAAGATGATCATCAGGACGGTGTATCACCACAGCGAAGATACATGGAAGTGCCGGGAGGTTTGCGTCCAAATTTTGCGCATAAACATTGAGGTCGACGCATTCATCAGTCTAGACGTCTGGTAGGCGTTCCAGACTGAGACAGGATGACTATCCAGCGCAGTATGCACTTTCGACCAGGGCCATGCGCATCCCCAAACCATCTAGCACTGTTCAATCCAAAACACCCAGTATCTATGATCAGCTAATGTTTTGCAGAAATCACAAAAGTGATACTCCTGTGGAGAAGATAGTGATTAGAACGACAGGATACAATACAGCCAGCAGGAGAAGATTGTATTCTTTACAACAGCAATCAACGCATACATACCTCTTCGCAACGGTTCCCAACCTCTAACTATCATTTGGCTCGTCAAGAAAGGAGTACAAATGAAAAAGAAATTTTGATGTTCATACCCCTTTGTTTACGGTATTCTATCTGATTACCAAATGGTTTCAATGTCGCTTCCGATCCGCTTCCGGACCGCTTCCGCAATATCCACCGCTTCGAGCTAGTTGAGGATGTGCCGCGGTATCCCGACGACTCTTACAGGGAAAAGAATACAAGCAGGCTTATGACGACAAAGCGTCCTGCGGATCAATGATGCCGACTTCTGTATCGGGAAATTCATGCTCCATCTTTCGATTCTTCGGTACCGATGTAGAATAGAATGTCCGGCCGATTCAAAACGTCATGATTCAAATTGCAGGTGTCCCCGTCATGTATATTCGCAGGAAATTGACTTCTCTGTTCATCCTGCAGAGCCCAAGTATACCGTTATATTTGAAGAAACGCTCCCCACACGCCCCTTCGAGACTTAACCCAGCATAGGAAAGGCCACTACCAAAATACTTTCCGACGTTTTACGAACAGCTCACAATGTTTGCGCATACAGAGCAAGTTACTTGACAGGGCAGATCACATCCCAGGGCGGTTGCTGTATCGCTGCAAAGAATAGCTAAGACCTATTTGCCCGGGTAGCCGAGAAGGACAGATCGTGTAATCACGGGCCTACGATCCTCGCCAGGACATTTTCGAATCACGTCAAGTGCCGAAGCAATCATGCTAAACGTACTTGCGATGCATCTCGGTTAGAAGGCAACCTTGGGCCCAGGCAAATCGGAAGAGATGGAATTATGCCCAGAACGGATCAAAGCTCGCCTCTCTGAGGCAGACGGAATAATAGACCCGAAGACTCAAGCCGTCCCTCTTTGCATCCGACTGGCTCAGACGGCTGGACTTGCTCAAATGGCTGGACTTGCAGATACCTTCTCTGATAAGAAATGGAGGCATTCCCATCGACCCTCTGGATTGGACCGATTTCCCAACTCGGAAGTCAGTACCCGTCGACCGCTCTTTTACGATTTTGGTGAGGCTCGGAGATGTTTTGTGAGCAATCAGAACATGTCATGACAATGCATGGAGAACATGTGACAGGAGCACAGACTTTGAACGCAGCCCTCGAGCGCATCTATCTAAGGCTTTATGAAGAGAATCTCGCGCTTGGGAGCTTTTGTCGAAGATTACGCACACAACGCCTGTATTGAAGCCACGTGTGTCAATGCTGCACAATCTTGGGTATTCGATTAGCCGTGATCAAGTACCGAAGATTCTCGAAGAGAGCGCGTGTAAAGTAAAGTCAGACAGATGAACCACTATAGCATCGTGGCTTGGTAATTGGCGGCGAGATATGCTGTGAAAGAAGCACCCTCTACTCCCTGTCAGGGGCTATCTACCGGGCTTTTTCTAGTACAAAGCAACGACTGCTGGGGTTTCAGAGCCGTTTGGACACGTCAGTAAGTCTGCAAATTCAACTCAATATTTTCGATCCAAGATCGGATCAATGGTTGACAATGATTATTAGCACAGCCTCTCATGAATGTCACGTCAAGCGCCATGTGCGAAGCTTCTCGGTCCAACCACTGCAAAGCAATTGTTCCAGATTCCAATCACCCTTTCCGAGTTTCCGTTGTCAAGGCATCCCGGTCCTGACGTCAATTTTAACGAACGCTATGCACTCCCGAGATCTATTCTATGCCTAGAAACGGGCCGCAGGAATATTGCTCAACGTTTGTGTCGAGCGGCTCATCTCAGAGAGAAGGTCGGGGAAGCACATCATTTCGGGCAAGGTTTCTTGGCTTCTAGTGGCCGTGTCGATGGGAGTAAGATGCAGGCATTCTTGCCACGCAAGTACTGCTTCTTGGTGCTCGAACAAGCACTGCATCTACAATCGCAATAGGGAAGGTATCGTGACGGCGTTGGCGAGACAGGGTACAATAGCGGATTCGATGACAAGCTCAAATTGGCAGGTGTTTCCGTTTGGTTGATGGAAAAAGGCGATGCGGAAGCAAGCGCTTCAGCTAGGGATCCAGGTTTGACCAAAACGGCCGAAAAGGCGCTATTCCTGAGGGAAAAAACACCGAACGCCAATGCACTTCACGTGTAATTCGTCACCGCCCAACGCGTGTGCCCGATTTCCATATGTTTGTGCTGCTACATGATCTTAACTAAGAGCAGCGCCTTGGTATGGCGATCACGCTGTGAATGGTCCACACCATAAGCGGCACGTAGCGGAACATCAGGCCGACAGCCACCAGTTTTGAAACCAAGACTCGGTTATGACGTTTTGGAATAGGTCTAAGATTTCGCATCCTCGCAGTTCATCCCCCGCAATGGGTACAGTGAATATAAAAAAGCGGGGTCGTTGCAGGGACCAGGACACCGTGCTCTGAAATGCTCGCATCCATGTTGCCTCAAGTATCCGCTATAGTCTCTGCCCCTGGGACACTATTGATGATTCTATCTGGCCGGCCATCTCGTGTGTGTGTGCACGCTCAAAATATCCAAGATGCTCAAGACATTCGAAGGCAGTACTATGAAGGAGGTCCCGGAAAACATTGACAAGTCATCACAACCACCACCTCCGCCTTACGTGGCCAACCCATCGGCTTTACCCGATCCCCCTCGCCGCCGCCAAAGACGCAGTTGTGATGCGTGTCGACGCAGCAAAAGAGCTTGCGATGCAGAAAGGTTTGCTGACTTTACAGGCCAATCCTGTTCGAACTGCCTCCGAAAAAACCAGGCCTGCACTTTCAACTGGTTGAAAGCCACCACCAACTCAAATCAGGAACCTCAACGAAAGAGGACAAGATCTGGGACTCAAAGTAGTAATGACAGCATCGAAGGATCCACGGCTCAGCATCACGGCTTCCAGGGCAAGGCTAGTTTTGAGGTAGCTGACCGGAGAAGACGCTGGGCAAAGTCTTTCGGGGAGGAGGAGGATCAAGAAGATGACTCAAACAACACGCTGCCCGATGATTTAGATAACGAGATGAGCGGGTCAAGTTATGCTGGCGATCTGGTACCAGTGCGGTCACGCAAGAGCCATGGACGAGGCCCGTTCTCGTCATCACACTCTCAACGATCCTCATTCGATGAACGGTTTAGAGACAAGCGGCCGATGGGTGAGGGTTCGTTTCAGTTCAAAGACACGCTCCTAGGGGAAAGAAGTTCACGTGGTTTCGTAACTAACGGCCTACTTCGGATTTACAACGACAGCATGGAAAACGCCCTTTCATGCTGGCTGACCGAGCACAACTGTCCGTACACACTACAGAAACACAAGCCTTCTATCCTATCAGCAGGAAGAACAAACAGGGAATGGGGCTCGACATGGGGAAACCGAATGTACAACCGCGTCATCCAGCTTGACAGAGCATACAACTCCATTCGTATACGAGCCTTGACGGCCGAGGAAGAGCGCACAGCTTCCAAGGCACTCAATATGGCTGTCGTGGCCTTTGCATCGCAATGGGCTCAAGCAGGTGACCGAGGTTCGCGGGCTCCGCCAACAGACTACAACTTTTCAACGGACGAATTCCCAGAGTCGAACTACTTTGAGCGATCTATGCAAGAAGGTCTGTGGCACCAGACATCCCAGATACTGCACCGTGCAGCTGGCATCGATTCGTTCCGCGTCGTCTTCGCAATGATCATCTTCTCGCTCACGCAGCGGCCTCTCGATATATCCCGCCCATTTCCGTACAGCGTGTCCCAGCTGAAAGCCAAGTACGAATACTTCAAGAGCATTATACAAGATGATGAAGCACCAATATTTCTTGAACTAGCATTACGCCAGATGATGGCTCAGCGACGCACACTGGAGCGTGCAGAACAAGCCATGCCTAGAACCGCAGAGGGAGAGTTCCAAGACCCTCTCGGACAAGAGGACCGCGACACATTCAATCTGCTGTACTGGCTCGGCGTCATGTTCGACACGCTATCAGCTACAATTTCAGAACGTACAGTAGTCGTCGACGACGAAGACTGCGAACTCCCTCGACCAGAGAGCCGCAAACCCGCACAGCCCACTCCTCCCGCCGCCGCCACATCAGCCTCGACTGCATGGCCAGTAATACCAAACATGTTTAACACCCAGTTTCATCCTGTGCCCCCAGACGCCACCATGGATGCCCTGACTGTGGACAGTGAAGCGTCCAAGAACCCAGAAGACAACAAAGTATGGGGCAACTTGTTTATGCGCAGCTCAGACTCGCAAGCAGACCCCGAAGCAACGAGATGGCCGTGCAGTTACAAACTAGCAGCTTCAACACTGAGTTCCGCCGCGCCGGTAAAAGTGCTATTGTATCGACGGGTATCCCAGATTCAAACGCTTGTCTCGCGACGAGCGTCAGCAGATAAAATAGAAGTAAGTCAATCCCCCCCCATTCAAAGAACCTTGGAGAATTTAATTTATTTCCACAATCCATCATCCTTCTCCGACATATCTTCAAGATTGCCATACTGACAACAGAAACAACAGTCCGCCATCAACGCCGCCTTCCAAGTATACACGCATTGGTCCCGCACCTACGCCCCCTTCATCTCAGACTGCATAGCCCACCACGCCACACTCCCTACGCGTATTCAATCCTGGTACATTCTCCTCGCAGGCCACTGGCACCTCGGCATCTTCCTCCTCTCAGACCTCTTGCATACAATCGACACTGCAGCCTTCTCGCTCCCCAACGAGCGCGCCTGCCGCCTCGCTGCCAACCTCGTGGCTACGCTGCGTCGTCAAAACGCGTTCGCAGTTGCGGATCTGAGTCTCGCGAGTATACATTCGTCGACACAGAGCGAAGAAGACCTTGCGAATGCAGCTGCTGCAGCTGCAGGTGTGCCACGCAGTGAATTCCACTTTGCGCTCGGTGAAGCAGCGTTATTGACGGAACCCTGGACTATCGTCTTCGTCCGCTCCCTATGTAGAGCAGGTTACATACTCGTTTCCATTGCTGCCTCGACGGATTCCACGCGTGACGAACGCGAGCAAGCGCGGTCGCGGTGCGGGGATTGCATAGAAGGACTCTGGTATCTCGGCCGGAAATCCGACATGGCGTTCCTGGCGGCCCGGTGTCTGAGCAGTATGCTCGATGATGCGGTTATGGAGATGGGAGGGGGACGAAGCGCAGCGGCGACAGCGACGACGACGACGACGGCGGCGACAACGGAGGATGAAGACGAAGGAGGACACACGACTGCGAGTGAGAAGAGTTCTACCCCTGGTGTTTCTGGCACTGCACCCATGTCCATAGCCACAGCGGATTCTACTCTGTTCTTTCAAAACTGGGGGTTGGATGATATCATGGGTGATACTACTCACTCACACACTCAAAGTCATGCCGCTGGACCATCATCACCATCATCAGGCCAACAACAACAACAACAACAACAACAACAACAACAACAACAACAACAACAACAACAACAACAACACCAACCTCCCAACTACTCCCATCCTCCTCCCCCTCCGTCCAGCAGCTACCAAGGCTCTGTTGCGACTAGCTACCCAGACTCAGAAGCTCAGCTTCCGCTGGCTGATAGCGATATCTTGGACTTCCAGGCGCCATTGGATTTGGATGGGTCCGGGGTCTGGGATTTTAATATGCACTCGTAGGCATTGTTTGGATTGATTGACTGAGGGTTTCTGGGACATGTAGATTGATGATGACTGATGATTGGAAATGAAATGAATGAATGAACGACTGACTTAAGACGTGACTTTTTTTTCTCTCTTAATTCTTTAGTTGTGCACGTTTTTGATTGAACTGAGTGATAAGTCAGTGCAGAATATTGCCTTGTAGATCAGCTCGGTCTTTTTTTTCTTCTCAATATCTTTTGGCCTCTGAAATCTAGGAACATGTACGGACAGACCAGGTCTTCTCCTGGTCAATGCTGAGCAGCCCTCCTCGAGGGCCGTATTGGTAAAAGGAGGCTGACTTGTAGTTTGGCCGAAGTGTGAACAAGGCACAAAGCTCTGTCGGGTTACTTGCAATAAAAATCACATTCCCTCTTAAGAATCAAGTCTTCGGTCCACCATGACCAGTGCTGAATCCTATTGGCGACATAAGTTGGTGATAAAGAATACTACCTCATGGCGGACACATCGACGAAAACATGTAATGAGAGGCACGGCTTGCATTTGAAAAACTAGGTATCATTCACATGCTGTCAACCTTAGACAGACCTAACCGTGACGCCGCCCATGCTGGGATTGCCCACACTGGGAACACCCATGCTGGCAATGCCCATTGCCGTATCATAATCCTGACTTTTATAGTGTCGTAAGCCATAGCAAAGAACCACGCGGTCGCTTTACCAGCGAGTAGCTTATTTCTTCTTGGCTTCAGCCTCCTCAGCCTTGGCCTTGGCGCGCTTCTCGCGGGCACCGACGTAGCGGGCCTCGGCGCGGGAGTCACGGAGCTTCCTGTAGGCGTTCTCGGTAGCCTCGTAGTTGCTGATGGGGCCCTCCTCGAACTGGATGGTGTTCTTGATGGGGAAAACGGCAGAGGTGTTGCTGACGAGGTTGTCACCGCTCTTAGCAGCCTTGACGTCCTCGGCGGAGGCGTCACCGTTCTTGGTCTTGCCGTTGCGGCGGGGGAAGAGAATGAGACGCTTCCTGTACTCCTGGAGGCGCTCGACGTTGGCCTTGAGGCCCTCCTCGGAAAGGTTCTGGCGGCGGGGGTCGACAGAGATACCGATGGTGCGGGCAAACTTGCGGGGGATACCGGCAGCTGCAGAAGTTAGTAGTGCTCAACGTAGTTGAAAAAGATTATTTACCCTTCAACTCAGCAAGAGAGAAACCACGGCCGGGGCGGACACGGCGGTTGTACTTGATGGCTACTACAGTTAGCAATTTTGTCAAAGTGTATTGGGCGGAGAATAATTACTTGGGCAGCGGACGACGGGCCTCAACTTGTCAACAGGCCTGGGGGCGACCTTCGCAGCCTTGGCAACACGAGCATTGCGTCTGGACTTCTTCTTTCCAGGCTGTTTGCAATGTCAGAAATCTGTACACAGGCGCCACTACTCTCAGCGAGGTGAGAGGGGAATTACCTGGTCGAAGTGCACGCGGACGTAGCGTTGCCTGTCTCGCAATTAGTTTACTGAAATAATGCAGCAATTTTCCCATCTCTTCAACATACCAGTCCTTGTGGAAGTGATTCTTCTGAATCTGCTGGTTGTGCTTGATCGCCATTGTATCGGATTGTCTATTCTTGAATCAGCCCTCTGTCGTCCAACTGCGCTTTTTCGTATCGCGTGTCGCGTTGACAATTGAATGCTGCGATTGCTCTCGATGCGATGCGGGAATGGCTAACGTACCTCGACGGCGGACCTGGTGGTTAGTTAATCGTACGGCTGTCGGGGAAAGAAATCTCGACAATCCTCGAATTTTCGAGGTGCCGCTTAGCGTGCGCGAGGCGAGCTGGCGGAAAAGCGTTTCGCCGACGCTAGTAAGTGGGTCGACGAGACGGCGCGCATTCTTCGGGACATTGACGTTTGAACCAAACTACGAGCAACAACGGTGACCACGCATTTAGTCGGAATTTTTTTTTATCGAGTTGCATTCTAAATGGATATAGGACTTTGCATGTTTTTGCGTAATCTGATCGCCATGGCTAATTCTACAATAAACACCGTATGCTCATTGTAGCAACCTCCCCCATTTGATACGCGAGAATAGAATAGCAAGCATGAAAAGAATAAAAAGTGAGAAGGGAGGAAAAGGAAGAAAAATATACCAAGAAAGAAATCTAAAGAAAAGTCCCCCCGAACCCTTGACCATAGGGCAAATATATACATGAAAGTATTACAAGATACCTAAAATATAGCCAAGAGAATAACTCTTCCATAGACACCTGCCTTGTTTTCCCTAAACCTGTCACCCTAGTCTAACATTCCAACTGAGAAACCTAAAAACCACCATCATCAGCATCGAAGAATTCAGTACTTGCGCTGTCGGTACTCTTCCAACTCTCCCTTGGTATCTTGTCTCGAAGCCATGTCAAAACGGCATCTGTACCCTTTTGTAGGACTTGCCGATTGGGTACCCTAAACCTGTTTCCTTCAACCTCGAAGCCAGTAAGAGTGCCTTGGAGCAAGCCGATACGTGGCTCCAAGCGGTCAATGTCATTGTTTCCGAGGTTCACAATCCTTAGGTTCGTCAGACTTTCGGCAGAGACCTCTGAAATCTTATTGTCCGATGCCAACAGCGTGGTGAGCGACGGAAATGAGGTGTGAAGGGCAGGCAGAGCACCACTCAGCCGATTTATCGAAACGTCCAAGGTGACAAGGTGCGGTGCTGTGAGGTGGGCCGTCAGTGGTGTCAAGCTTGTCAGCTTGTTGCTAGCGAGACGGAGATCGCGAAGTTGAGCGAGCTCGAGCGGCGCTGACAATGCAACTCCAATAGCGTTCCTGGAAAGATCAAGAACAGTGAGGTGTTGGAAAGTCCCAACAACAGGCGGAATAGTAATGAACTTATTGCGCTGCAGTTGGAGTTGACGTAGGCCATTAACAAGAACTTCTGATGTAGCGTCGTCAACTTCAAGCTCGTCCATATCCTTGCCTGCTAGATCTAAAGTGCCAGAGGGAGTGAGTTCCCATTTGGATTGAGGTTCTTGAGGATCTTCATTAACAAATTCTTCATCAACCTCGGCTGGGAGATCATCAGCTGGCAACCGGGAGGCCAAGTCACGCTTCAAGTCTTCAGTACCCATGGAAAGGAATTTTCGATCACGCAAGGGATTGGCAGCCACAGTAAGGTGGTCAAGACTCTCCATGAGCGCAATCTTTTCGTCAAGCTGGGTTATGTCGTTGCCAGTAAAATCTGCAGTACGGAGCTGCTGAAGGGCGGTAAAACCTTCTGGCAGAGCTGTGAGCTTATTTTCTCCCACTAGCAGAGTGATGAGATTGTTCCAACCCGATACTGCAGGTAGAGAGGTCAGTCGATTGATAGAGACATTCAAGATTTTGAGTGCGGGCAAATCAATTGAGTCGTCTTCGCATAGCGACGTAAGGGAGTTCTGAGCCACGTGCAGTTCTTGCAGATGCGTTGCAGAATTTCTAGAAAAGAAAGCACCCTCAAGGCGATTCTTGGATGCGTGCAGCTCGATAAGGGCAGAAGAGAAAACCTCGGTGGGAATGCTGCGGAGCTGGTTGTCGGTTACGTTAAGCGTACGGAGTTGAGTCAAGCGCTCGAAGCCACCAGGGAGGCTATCCAGCTTGTTTGCTTGTAGTTCCAGAATCTCCAATGCCGTAAGATCACACAACGCTGGTGACAGGGGGCCTTCCAGGTTGTTCTCGGCTAGTTTCAATTCCCGAAGAGTGGGTATTTGGGCAATAACGTCAAATACCTCCATGGACAGCTTATTCCTTGACTGGAAATTGTTAGCACTGTTGCACAATACACAAATAGAACCAGATTGAGGGAAAACACCGCCGGCTTAAGCAAAGACTTACAAGGTTCAGTTTGGACAACTGCGTAAGTCGTCTCAGACCCATGGGCAACTCTCGAAGCATGTTGCCGTGAAAGTCAATATTTTGGACTCCGCCAAACTGAGGACCCGCCTCGTCGGAGTCAATCATGTCTTCGACAGTAACGTCGGGAAACATGCTGTCTGGGATGATTTCAAGCTCATTATCCGCAGCTAGAATAGAAGTAAGATCTACAACCTCGCCCCACGCCACCTTTGTGTCGTTGGGATCATAAGTATACATTGAAAGTACGTCATCTGGTATCTCCTTTAGGCCCATTGCAGCAATGTTCAAGCGGCCATCTCCACGAGCAGTATCGATACGTCGACGCAGGACGGAGCCACCACCTTTGGCGCGCTGGTTGAAAGGGTCGTCATTGAGTCCAAAATCAAATGTTGCAATTTCGGCCGGATCGGGAATGATGACATCCGAAGGGGGTGTACTGTTCCTAACGGGCTCGGCCTTTGCTCGCTTGGCAGCCTCCCTGGCCTTTGCAATCTGTTCTCTCAAGGCACTCGAGGAACTTGCAGCCTTTGGTGATGCTTCGACAGGTGCCGGAGCAATGTCTGGCTTCTTTGCCGCCTTGGCCTTTGCAATGTGATCCCGCAAAGCTGCTGAGGAGCTGGCGACCCTTCGAACGGTGTCTGGTGTCTTTTTCACGGGGGTCTCGTGACCCGTGACTGGAGAACTTACGGCAGTACCGGGAGGCGAGGTTGCTTGTGCAAACATATTGCCGAGGGATGCGCGGGTTCTCGGTGTGCGGGCGGCGAGGTTCTTGGTGTTGGTCATCAGACGCGGTTTGGGTGTGTCTTGGACATTGTGGGCTGCCGCTAGTGGCTGCTTCTTAACGGTTGACGCGGAACGCACAAGAGATGTTTGTCTGGTAGGCGTTACAGCTGATGAAATGACGTTGGCACTCGCACTCCGCTTGCCTGGAGATGTCATGGACATTCTGTTGGTAGGCGGGACAGCAAGTCTCTTTGGAGTCCCTGGGATGGTCTGTTGCGAGCCATCGCTGGTCGATGGTCTGCTGCCATTGGACGTAGCCGACGCTGGGCGCAGCGGTGGTGGCATGCTGTTGTCGTTGAAGAAGCTGGATCTGCGCCTTCCCTTCTTTGGCGCTGGTGAAGATGGAAGTTGCGATAGACTCTCTATGGTTCTTTCCGAAAGCGAGGGCCGTTGCTGCTCTGAGCCGTCCGAAACGGCGGCTTCATGTTCCGCGTCGCTTTCATGGTGTGCTGCTCGTGAACTGGCGCGCGAGGATGCTCTTGAGGCTGACCTGAAGCCTTCTAGCCGGCCCAATGTGTCTTCCGGGCCGCCAGGAACCGATGACGAAGTTGGACGTGACGATTCCTTTGGCTGTTGCGAGACGGGCCGAGCGAGGGGTTTCTTGAAGGTCGAAGCATCGCTGTAGTTGGAGGAAGCACTCGAGGCGGCAGTGGAGGTGCGGCGTTGGCCAAAGTTGGGGATGCCACTGACTCTGCGGGAAGAGGAGTAGGGGGTCCGTCCTGGAGTCGAACTCGGGGGCGCGGCGATCGAGGGGGCGGCCTGGCCTGAAGAAGGAGGACCGTTGGGGAGGATGAGCGAGGCCCTGGAGGTCTTCTTCTGCAGGGTCGAGGCGGTTGGGCGGGAGATGGAGGCCAGCGAGGGCTTCTTGCGCAGTTGTTCGGTCGAGGGGGTGGCACGCAACTGTGACTGACTGGCTGACTGGCGCAGGACGGGCAGACGAGAGGCGGGGGCGGGCCTGGGGATCCCCGAAGGGCGGGTTGACGAAGACTGGTCCATGGTGTTGGGCGCTACAGGATGTCACGCTCACGCCTAGGGGTTCCGAGGGCGTTCATGCAGACTCGCATAGACAGACAAAGGAGCTAGAGGCACGCCCGGCCGGGAACGAGGGTCGAGGATCCTGTGGCGACAAGACGAATTGGCTGGGGCCAGAGTAATTCTCCGCGCCGGGCGCAGCAGCCAGTCTGAGCGTGAACGGGAGGGAACGGTTGCCCAGCCGACACGCCGCTGTCTGTGTTTTATCGACATGGCGGCCGTTTGGGCCTAGCGCCGCCTGCGCGCACTGCAACCAAGGCAGCCAGCCCGCCAGCCAGCCCGCCAACGCAGGGCCCGCGACGCTGCGACCGCCCACGACACGTCTGCCACGGCCTGCTTGTATTTTGCCCTTCACCCTCACCACCACCCCAAGCCCTTGCTCGCCACCGCAAGCGGCCCACAGCGCGCCCCGACGCCGCCCTCCCCTCGTCCACACACGTACCTGTCGCGCTCCCGCGTCGCGTACCTGTGTTACCGCCGCCCGCCCCGACGCCCGCAATGGACCAACACCAGCACCCACCCCAACACCAGCCCGCGTCGCCAGGCACCTCCAAGCCGGCCTCGCCCGCTCCCCGCATCACGTCCTCGATGACGCCTCCCCCCTCCTCCTCACAGGCGCCCGCTGCTCGCGCGGCAATGCGGACGCCTTCTCCCCCCACTCCCCAGCTCACCTCTCCCCCGCCCACCACCAAGCTGCCCGACCAGGCGTCTGCGCTGGCCGACTTGGGCGCGGGCTTGTACCCCCAGGACCAGGTCAACAGTGCCTCGGTCCAGGAACTGAGGGCCATGGTAAACAGCCTGTCCAACGCACTGCGCGATATGCGACTCTCGGCAGCCCACTACAAGCTGCAGCACAACATGGCCGTCATGGAGAGCCAGGAAGCTGCGAGCCGCATGGCTGTCGAGCTGGCCATGGCCCAACGCGAGCTCGATGTGCTCCAGCAAGCCGAGGAGAAGCGTCGTGCGACAATGGCCGCGCCCGAACAGACGTACCAGGACTCGGCCAATGCCGTCATGGTGTCTGAACTGACACGCCAGAACCAAGTCCTCCAAAGCGAGAACGACGAGCTGCGAGAGATGCTTGAGCAGCAGAAGCGCCTGACTGAGCACCGCGAGGGCGAGCTGGCCAGTCTGATTGAGGAGAACGACAGGCTCAAGACAAGAATCCGCAACAACCGTGACCACATTGCCCCTCTATTGGAGCAGATTGAGCAATCTTCTCCCCGATCTACCTTTGGCACCCCGGCCCAGCCTACCCCAAGAAACCGTCTCAATCGCGTCCCGCCTCCCCCGCTCTCTCAGCAGAACAGGAGCCAGAGCAACTTTGAGGCTCTGTTGTTGGCCGACAAGATGCTCAGCCAAGACGCGTCTACAGCTCCTTCCACTCCCAACAGAGTGCAGGCGCCAAGGGCACGCTTCAGTCACCAGCGAGGTGCACAATCCATGTCATCACTGCCCCAGACACCCAACCAGAGAGCTGCCTTCCCCCGCGCCGAGGTGCCTCGCACACCGCCCCTCTTCGCGCCAACCAACATTCCCCAGTCGGCACCCCCAGTCCACTACCAGCAGAAGCCCGAAAGCATTCGGCGCCAAAGCAGCAACTCGACCATTACTGCGTCGAGCATTGATGAAGAGGAGGCTTTTACAGATCGAGAAGACGACCAGGTGCCAGAATCCCAAGCCAGCCAAATGGCACGAAGCCTGCTGCAACAACCGCCCCCAGCAAAGGGCATCATGTCTGCACCGGCCTCGCAGCCTTCGAATCTTGTGCAGAGCAAAATCTTCGGCCAGGTCAAAAAGGGCCATGGCCTGACTCGTGCAAACGAGCTCAAGAGGGGCCGCATGCCATCAACAGCGGACTTGCGAAATCAGACCAGTCCGCCAAAGCGCGGACGCGTCGATCAAGGTGTAGGTCTTGGCATTGGTGGTTTGTTGCGCGAGTGAAAGATATGAACTGTTCCTGACCTTTTTTGTGTGCCAGGGCATTTATTACTAAGTCTTCACGAACACTCATGATTATGGCGACAACGGGCAAGCGAGCGATTCGGATTTTGCACCCTGACAGCTGGTTTTGTATTTGTGCTTTGTTTTTGTTCCGGGATACCCTTCTAGCTGCGCTATGAGACGACGCAGCGACTTGTTATTGTATTTGTTCATGTCCATGTGTTGATATGTTTTGTATGAGGTGACATGTAGTGGACTGAGGAATTATTAGTTTATGTAGCTCTACTCGACTCGAATGTGTTAAATCCAATCATGTGTGTGATGCCTTCATCCACATGAGACCTGTAGTGCCTGAACCTAGTGGGTGCCTAGTCTTTCTTTCTATATGTTGTTGTATTAGTAAGGAATGGCAAAGGTGTGCCTTCCTGCAAAGTTGCCATCAACTCACTCCCTGTGCTTTTGTGGCAATCACAACCATCACATCGCTAGCGTTGCTGCCAGCTCTCAACATCAACAGTTTCCCACATCTCGTCATCACACTTGTTTGCCAACCTCATCGTATGCTCGGAAACTCAAGCTACGATATGCCAACACCAGGATATCAGGATGAGTTTCATCAGTGTGAATGATGAGAGCTACAAGACCGGCCAGATTGTATCTTCCTACTCACTTTCACTCTCATCCTCCTGCAATGGCACCTCTCTGGAAACCAATCCTCTTTCTCGGACAACGTCTAGTCAATGACTCAGCCCTGTGAACCAAAACCACAACACCATCAAGAAACCCAATACAAACTTGCTATGGAATCTCCCACAACTGAAGCCGCTACTGAAGAGAACAATGACGAACTGAAGACACTCATCGTACAAGATATACGAAACTGCAGAGATGCACTCAAGTTCACTCGCGTTCAGTGGCAAAAGATGAAGGAGTATGAGAATAGTGTTTTTGAAGGTGAAAAGAATGGATTGGACGAAGCTCATGAACGCATCAAGCAGCAAGAGTGCATCTTCAACGAAACGAGCAAATTGCTCAAAACCCTACCGACAAATCACAGCGTTCAACTCGTGCACAATGCCTTGCTTCTCGAACAGAAAAAAGAGGCCTTGCTTATTGAAGAGTCATTCAACGCGATCAAGATGATAAAAGTGAAGCTGCGTGAGGAGAATTCACGTCGAGCTCAAAATTCTAGAGCTGCATTTGAGAGGGAAATCAGGAGACTTGAGACAATGATTGGAAATCTCCAACAGATCGCTGAGATGGCTGGCATCTTTTTGGACGATACAATTATCGTTGAGCAGACCACTTTTGGTTACGCTAACCCTGGTGAAAATTTTCAACCGTCTCGTCCAGCCTTGATCTCTCCTGCAGCCTGGTTAAGTCGTCTTGATGCTATTCTTGCTGGGGCAAAGATATCTGGCCGTCCCGCTGATGTACATGCCACATCAGCTGTCCAACGTCACTCGTTTGGCACGGGCATGTACCAGCGTGTCGAGAAAGACTTACGACGGCCCGTTGCCTCGAGGGTCAATTTGAAAAAGAATGAACATCCTGTGTCGGATAGTGTACACGAAGAGACACCATCTGTAAGACATCTCACTCAGAGTAGTCAGCACACCCTAACAGAAAGCAGGGACTCTCAGCACCAGTTCGACCAAATACTCCAAGGCCTGATCCAGAACGCGAAACTATGGGTGATTGGATGATCGGCTTTGTAGAACAGGGTCAGAACATCATGTGTGAGGTCGAGCAAAGATACGAGCTCGACATCGATGCGGCCAACAGGCAATACGATAGGGACGAGCGCGCTATCGAAATAGGTCTCAAAAAGAACGAAGAACAGTATTCACGAGCTTTGCGGTTGAAGAATATAATGGAACTTTTGTGGGAAACAGAGTATACTGACGAATGGAACGAAGGAAGGAAGATCATAAAGGAGGAGCTGAAGCTCATTCGTCAGGAACGGAAAGAACTCACCAACCGTCAGCCCAGATGCGAGGAGCATCGCGTCCGACGTCAGAACGAGGCCAATGCACTCTTGGAGAAACAGTCAAGGTTCTATAAGGCGCTTGTTGGTCGAGTCGAAAGTGAAGCTGCCAGTCTCAACCAAAACTTGGGAGATCTCAACTGAAGCGTTTGAAAGGCCCAGACCGTCCATTGCATAGGAAACCATGGAAACAGGGAAATGGAGTTGGACGTGGTACAGTACTTGGATTGGTTTTTCTCATAGCACATGATGATGTCTCTTTGATGATACCCTCCATCGACCCTGTCCCAGCCATTGTGACTTTCCCCGCACAGGGTACAAAGTTGCTTGTGCATTACAGGAAATTACAGTTAGCAAACCTTTCTATACATGATCACTATTGCTCAGGTTCCTGGTTTCTTGTTCGGAGGACCAGTCTCTCAGCATCTATCAGCGACATTGTCAGGCGGTGCGCTACGACAATCAACATGGAGCGTGTAAGTCCTGGATCTGTGCCTCTGGAATGTTTGATAGATCATCTTGTGAGATGCAATTGTCACTACCCATCGGTGTAAATGACAGTCACATCTACCATCGACTCAACGACTCTACCAGTAACTACTGACTGGATTGTCAGGTCCGCAAAATATGCACTCTATGCAAGGTCGAACGGCAATTTGAGCATAGCACGAGACGCGATACTAACTGCCCTATTCTACGAACCTCGCGAGGGAATGCCAACTCTCGTGCTCAGAACGGACGAAAGGTCTTCACTCATGATATTACACGGACAAATGTACCGCTAAAGAAGAGAAACACTCTTCGTAAGAAGAACAGAAGTGCTGCTACGAGTACACAAGGTGCTATCAATCCAATAGAGCAACAGATCACAGGCTTACAAATCACAGTAAAAGACCGCTCTGCAACACGCCAGTCAAAAAAAGAAGTCCCTGGAGCTACAAAATCCGCATGGCTACATACATGGTTCAACAGGCTTCCCATCACAACATGCCCCAAGCCCCCCATATCACCTTCATCAAGCACTTCTCTTCCCCCCCGAAAAGCCACCAACGTAGACTTATCCCGTGTAGTCCCCTCCCACCGCACAGAAGAATCACCCACTGCCCTACCCACGAACATCACCCCAACAGCACCTATCCCACACCGCACCCGCATCCCCCCAGCCATCAAATCCAGCAGCACCCCGAACCTCTCCCGCCACTTTTCCCTCTCCAAAAAGTCCAACAACCCCATGAAAAACACCACCCCTACTACTACTACTACTACCACCACCATTATTACCCCATCCGCCCCAACAAAACTCCAAAAACGAGCCCCCGCATCCCCTCGCCCCAGATCGACCACAATCACCACAGCCGCCACCAAAACATACCTCTTCCCACCCCACCCCACCAGTACTGTCCTACGCCCTTGCCCAACCGCAGCTTCAGACTCCAACCCCACTTCCAAGCGCCCACAAACCCACAATCCCGATTTGCACCAAGAGCCGTCAAAGGAGCCAGTGGTAACGAGTGATGGACGCAACAGCACTGCGTACCTGACTATTGCCGCGGCGGCAGCGGGAGAAGAAGAAGATGATGATGATGATGAAGGCGAGTTCGAAATGAGTGAGACGAGGAGATTGTTGTGGGAGTATTGGAATGTGCAGTGTAGGTTTTTGGTGGAGGAGTGGATTGATGAGTGAGTGAGTGAGTAATTGACCATCAGGAGAGCTTTGTTAGTTCGATGTTTTGGAGGTGAGGGTAGAGAGGATAGCCGAGGTTTTTTTTCCTTTGTTCTTTGAAATTTGGCTTCTTGTGGGGTAAGAAAGGGATTGGGGGGGTGGGGGTAAAGGATATAATTTAATTGGGGAAGGGAGGGGGGATCTAAACAGGAAATTCATATGTATGGGTATGCCCGGGGGAAAAAAAAGGGGGGGGGGGAAAGACTCGGTAAATTACCATTAGGAAAAATCCAAAGAGAGGGGGTTGGAGGGGGAGCATCAAGTAGAAATCTATTTCGGAGAAAGGAGAAGAAAAAAAGTCTTTCATAATTTTACAAGAAAAAAAAACAACATAAAGGACGAGAGAGAGAGAGAGGGGAAAAAGGAGAGAGGAGACTGCTAGACTAGACGAAGCCACCGGGGTTAACCTTCTAGAGAAAAAAATCTTATAAAAACCCGTTCTTTGCTTGTTAGTTTTGCAATCGATCCCCTCCATTTTTTTTCCACAGAAAAACAACAAAAGAAAAAGACTATATCATGCCCCATCTAACTTGGACTCTCACTTCCTCAGCTTCCCTCTCGACTTACTCCGCGTAACCCTAGCCCTCGGCGCATCATCATCCTCTGTACTCTCGGTCGGGGGAACGTGAACGCCCAGTCCCTCATCCGGCCCAATCATAATGCCGTCATCTTCCGTCTCTCTATTATCCGAATCGATACCTCCATCCGGACTTTGAGTGCGGAGATTCGCTTCACTTTTCGCACGGCGTTCCGCCTCCCAGCCTTTAACAAGTCGTGTAACGTCGTCCTCACGGACTTTTTCCTTGCCGTTCCATGCACTGCAGCCACCGCAGCGCCAGCGGCCGACGTCTTCTAGTGTACGCGCGCCGGGAGGGGCTTGACCGTTGACGAGACGGCATTCTGTGCAGATTAGGGCGAAGCGGTTCTTAGCCTGGGTCTCATCTTCTCCGAGTAGAGCATCGAGAATACGGTCGTACCAGTGGGTTTCGGGAACTGTAGGGGGTTGGATGGCAGGCTCCTGCTGCGGCTTGTTCAGATGGGATTCAAAGGCATTGGGTGCGAATTCAGCGCCGAGATCATTGGGGGGAGGCAGCGAGGGCGGAGGTGAAGGCGTCACAATCGAAGGCACTTGTTGCGGAGTTGTAGGAAGCTGGGGAGGCTGAGGTCGGTGGATGTTTGCAGTAGGCGGAGGAGCTATGCCAGTGCGTGGACCTGGCGGCGGTAGCGGCTTCTGGGGTCCCCTTGACCTGCTGCGGGCAGGAGAGTCATCTTCATCTTGAACCAACTCTTTTGGCTTTGGCGAAGCACCGCCGTATTTCTCCAGCAGCTGCTGCGTCGAATTGTACTTTGTGGCCTCCTTTAGGCGCTCGATAGTGGCGTCGCGCTCCTTGTCCAACTTTTCGAGGTAATGCTCCGTGTTGCGAATGCGGTAGTCAAAGTAGCCCATGAGCGCGTAGCGTAGTCCGTAGATGCTGCGGCATGGCGGTTAGCCAAATATGACGCGTTAACGGCTCCAAAGGTGGGACGTACAGTAGTGGGCCGCCCGCGACAACAGACCCCTCAATAGGACCCCAATTCTGCCAGCCAGTGACAAAAGTGAGGACGACGGCGATCAGAATATATGCAAAGCCAGCGTACAATGTCCACATGACACGCGCGCGGCGCGCAAGCTGTTTCTGTTTGTCATTTCGCGCGGCGGCTCTGTTGATCTTGCCAGTGAGGGCGTTGAGTGTTCTCTCAAAAGACGCGGCGTCTTCGCTGCCCTGTTGCCGTTAGCGTAAGAAGGCGGGGTCACTGGGAGAGGATAGTTACCTTCCAGGGCCAGAAAGACACCATGGTGGCTCAGTGGCAGATCGAAGCCCGGCGTGGGAGCTCGATTTGTACTGTAGAGGCCGGTTGTGCGTGCTCGTGTGTGGACCTCTGTGAGACCTGACATCAGCGCCGATGCAACTGTTGGATCGCCGACAGGGATCTTCCCGAAAGACAGCATCACGTGAAACTAATCTTCTTTGCGGACCTCCGCGCCCTCGTTATTTGCTATCCATTCAACTTTCACGTCGAACACACCATGGCATTGGCAGCTTACCGGAACCTGCTGAGGTCTGCGCGCATCGCCTTCCAAGGTATGGACACTTCGTTGTCTTTTGAAAACATGCTCACATCAATAGGCGACACCCACACACTCGTGGCCGCCCGCGCAGAGGTCCGCAAGAACTTTGAGTCGAATCGCAATCTGCGCATCGGAAGTGAGGAGTTGCAGAAGTCGTTGGTACATGCAGAGGAGGTGTCCAAGTTCCTGCGCGAGAATGTAGTGCAGGGTCAAGCAGAGGATCCAGATGGCAAATACAGTATGATACATACACCATCATTGGTATTGGCGTCTCTCGACTAATAATCTATAGAACTACGGATACACGAACACACCGAACGAGGCGACAACGAGGACATCAAAAAGGGAAAGGGAAAAACTACATTAGGCGGAACAAAGTGCTGCTCGTCCTAGGCTTTTTATCCATGACAAATTGAATCGTGATACCCATGCATGCAATCCACGCATCGCAAAACGCCGTCCCAATGCAAAGGAAATATTAAGCTAGTTTAGTTACCTGCCAAACTGGCATATTGGACTTCATCGTCAGCACTGGGCGGCGGCGCAATGACCATGCTGTCCAGGTTGCTTTGTGGACCAGCCTCAATGGCGGCTTGAGAAGTGGCAGCGGCACGTCGCGATGATCCCGCCACTTGACGTCCTTCCTTTGCGTATTGCATCCTGACATTCTGGTCCAGGCTGTCCAGCTGCTTCGGCTTGCCCCAAGTGACACGCATCGGGCAACCCTTGATGACTACCTTGCCCTTCAGAGCTGCTGCCGCAGTTTCTGCATCCTCTCTCTTGGCATAGTTGACGTATGCACAGTGCGCTCGGTGCGAGCAAACCAGCGACCGGAGCTGGCCATATTGTGTAAAGTGCTTGCGGATCTCATGTTCTGGCAGATCGTCCTCGACACCGGTGACAAAGAGCGAAGCAACATTGGGATCAGAGGGTGGCAGCCAGTCTTGTGGGCTCGGCTCTGCGGCTGGGCCTCCCATGCGGCCTCCCCGTCCTGGTCGCATACCTCCTCGCGCAGAAGGACCGCGAGAATCTCTGGTCCTGATGGGTCCCGGGATGTGGTTGCTCTCGCGGCTCGCACCTGCACCAGCACCTCCACTACCACCGGGCGCAGGCAACGCCTTTTGTCCGCTGCTCTCGCCCGCCTCGGCCTCTAACCGTCGTTGCTTCTTGTAGTATGGCTCGCTCTGTGCGAGGCGCTTCAAGAGATCACGCGCCTTTTCGTCGGTCTTTTCGTAGGCCTCCATGGCTCCCCGGCCCTCCTCAATCTCCTTCTCGTGTTCCTGCGCGTAGTATTGTCGGTTGATGTCGCTCTGCGGGCCAGGCGCAACCATCTTCAGCGCCGCATCACGGACGACGATGGGCAGACCAAACGAAAGATCCAGCATGCAGTGCTGGCAGCAGTTCTTGAGACGCGCGCATGTCAGGCAAATGTTGGTGCGCTTCTGTCGGGCGGTGCGGTCGGCCTTCCAGCGGAAGATGGTAAAAGGTCGCGTGCAAATCTTGCACTCGGCGCCATAGTCCTCCTTGAGCATCTGCACATAGGGGTTGTCGGGCAGGCATTTTTCGCAGACGGACGGGAAGTCAGTCGTCTCCCAGCCGCTGCGGTTCAAGTCGCTCTTGATCTGGGGCGGCATGGCGGGCAAAGAGCGCGCAAACAGTCGTAATTATTGAGAATGTCTTGCCGCAGTGGACTTTGGCGATGACAATGAACGTATCAGCAGGCGTCGAGTACGTGAGTGTGGGGCGCGGTGATGATTGATTGCTAGACGGGCGGCGAAGATTGATGAGCAAGGTTGGTGGAGTGGCGCTAGGAACAAATGTCCAGGGCACAGCAGCGCGGCCTTGGCTTTCACGCGCAAGAGGGGGCCGCCCGCTAGTGCTGTTGACCAAGCCGCGTACAGAGTGCGCTGTGATTGGCCGACTGCAGATTCCCCCCTTTGAATTTGTCCACTCTGCCTACCCATACCGCTCTTTCCCTCCAGCATTGCTTTCTTATAAAGTTTCCAGGGTCCTCGCCTTTGGAATTGCTTCTCTGACACCCACTTCATCCGTTCCACTTTTACATCGCTCTTTATATCCCTTCTAATATCTACAATGTCTCCCGTTGCGCTTGAAAAGGAGGACCATACTCGCGATGCCGAGTTTAACAAGGCCATGCACGGCCAGACTGCAAAGTCTCGCGGTGGCATGACTGCCATGCTCGGCAAGGACAAGGCTGCTCAGCAAGCTGCTGTTGACGAGTACTTCAAGCACTGGGACAACAAGGCGGCAAAGGATGAGACAGAGGAGACTCGCAAGGTATGCAATAGGTGGCTCCTAAACACTAGCATGTAGACTAACCAACATCTGACAGGAACGACGAGACGAGTACGCCACCCTCACCAGGCATTACTACAACCTTGCTACCGATCTATACGAGTATGGTTGGGGTCAGTCTTTCCACTTCTGTCGCTATGCCTACGGCGAGTCCTTCTACCAGGCAATTGCCCGTCACGAGCACTACCTCGCCCACAAGATGAACCTCCAGGATAACATGCGCGTTCTCGACGTTGGATGTGGTGTTGGTGGACCTGCGCGCGAAATTGTCAAGTTCGCTGGTGTCAACGTCACTGGCTTGAACAACAACGACTACCAGATCGAGCGTGCGACCGCCTACGCTGAAAAGGAGGGTCTCTCACACAAGCTCAACTTCGTCAAGGGTGACTTCATGGTAAGCATTGTGGAATACCTCATACTATTCCTGACTAACGTGCGCCCAGCAAATGTCCTTCCCTGACAACTCCTTCGATGCCGTCTACGCCATCGAGGCTACTGTTCACGCACCATCGCTCGAGGGCATCTACAGCGAGATCTTCCGCGTCCTCAAGCCCGGTGGTGTCTTTGGTGTCTACGAGTGGCTCATGACCGACAAGTACGACAACGACAACCCTCACCACCGCGAGATCCGTCTTGGTATCGAGATTGGTGATGGTATCTCCAACATGGAGAAGGTCGAGGTTGCGCTCGCTGCCATGAAGGCGGCTGGTTTCGTCATGGAGCACCACGAGGATTTGGCTGACAGGGACGACCCTTACCCATGGTACTGGCCTCTGTCTGGCCAGCTCAAGTACATTAGCACCATTGGCGACATCCCCACCATTCTTCGTATGACCAAGATTGGACGTGGACTCGTCCACAGGTTCGTCGGTTGCCTTGAGACAATCGGCCTTGCCCCCAAGGGCACTCAAAAGACCGCCGACAGTCTTGCTCTGGCCGCTGACTGCCTTGTTGCCGGTGGCCGCGAGAAGCTCTTCACACCCATGTACCTTATGGTCGGAAGAAAACCAGCGGATGCTTAAGTTTTTTTTCATTCTTGCTTCACCTTGCATTAGAATTCGTTTCGCATCTTGGGCCTGGTTGGTCGCGGGCATTTTTGTTTCATCTTTCCATGTGGGAGAGCAATCTCCTAGCATTTACACCAACGCGCTTTGGAGACGCGGATATATATATATATAGTATAATAGCTGGTAGCAAAGCAAGGTCTAGGGTAGGTGACGGTAACGCGAAACGTGGTGAAGATAGCGGAGAATGAAATACGTAATACGCCTAATCGGAATTGACATTGAACGTGGGAAATGGATGAGTGAATGTTCAAGGGCCGTGTTGATTATTAACATGTCTGAAATGGAGATGCGGTGCGGTATTCGAGTTAGCATGTCCGTCCGGCAGAGGCGTTATTCCCCGGCGCTGGTGTTAATCCCCGGCGTTGAGGGCTGCCGGAGCTGAAGAAGTCAAGTGTCGGGTGTTCTCGCACTTGAGAGTAGGGGACCCACCCGAAGCTTTATGACTTAGCGCGTTCAGGGCCCCAACGATTCGCATCCCCGACCTCCGAAGAAATTGTCCAGCAGCCCCAGCAACCACCAGAAGCCTCAGCGGCCAGTACTCGCCTCCGGCATTCCCTCACCACACCCCCTAAAACTCGCACATCACACACAATGGCTGCCTCAAGGCTCCTCCGACCGGCTTCGCGCCTTATCACCTCGACACGACAGGCGCCCGCTTTCCGACCTGCTTTCCGCGCCGCTGCCCTGACACCGTCAATTGCAAGGAGAGGATATGCATCGGGACAAAAGGAGATGACTGTGCGAGAGGCGCTCAACGAGGCCATGGCCGAGGAGATGGAGCGAAATGACAAGGTCTTTGTGCTCGGAGAGGAAGTTGCGCAATACAATGGAGCGTATGTGACCCACCATGCCCATCTCGGGCAATTCAATTCTGCGATGAGCGAGAGACAGCTGCAATCAGAAACAGCATATTTCCCATCAATTCGAATTGGGCTCAAGCTAAACCGGGTGCTGACCGATTTCTTAGTTACAAGGTCACCAAGGGCCTCCTCGACCGCTTCGGTGAGAAGAGGGTAATCGACTCTCCCATCACCGAGTCTGGTTTCGCTGGTCTGACCGTTGGTGCTGCGCTCGCTGGCCTCCACCCCGTTGTAAGTACTTTCCGGTTCTCCTAATTCACAAAAGCAATGCTGACCGAGACACCAGTGCGAGTTCATGACCTTCAACTTCGCCATGCAAGCCATTGACCAGATTATCAATTCCGCCGCAAAGACCCACTACATGTCTGGTGGTATCCAGCCCTGCAACATCACCTTCCGTGGTCCCAACGGTTTCGCTGCTGGTGTCGCTGCCCAGCACTCGCAAGATTACACTGCGTGGTATGGAAGCATTCCCGGATTGAAGGTTGTCTCGCCATACAGCGCAGAGGATGCCAAGGGTCTGCTCAAGGCTGCTATCCGTGACCCCAACCCGGTTGTCGTCTTGGAGAACGAGTAGGTTACATCGATGGCGCAGTCGGTATACACATTGCTAACGCAAGCCAGGCTTCTGTACGGTCTCTCTTTCCCCGTCAGCGAGGAGGTCCAGAGGGACGACTTTGTCATTCCTGTAAGGACACCCCACCTTTTACCCACTGACCAGCATGCTAACCGTACCCTCAGTTCGGCAAGGCCAAGATCGAGCGACCCGGCAAGGACCTCACCATCGTCACCCTCTCCCGCTGCGTCGGCCAGTCCCTCGTCGCCGCCGAACAACTCAAGTCCAAGTACGGTGTTGAGGCCGAGGTCATCAACCTCCGCTCCATCAAGCCCCTCGACGTAGAAGCCATTGTCAAGTCCGTCAAGAAGACCGGCCACATGCTCTGCGTCGAGTCTGGTTTCCCCAGCTTCGGTGTCGCAAGCGAAATCATGGCGCTTACTTGCGAGTACGCTTTCGACTACCTTGAGGCTCCCCCTGCCCGAGTTACTGGTGCTGAGGTCCCCACTCCCTACGCTCAGAAGCTCGAGGAGATGAGCTTCCCCACTGAGACTCTGATTGCCGACTACGCTGCTAAGCTGCTTAGGGTATAAATATCAAAGTTAGTGGTTAGTGCAATGGATAGGTATGGCTCTGGGTTATGCGATTGATTCACTGTGTATCGCGCATGGAACATGGGGGGTGGGGCGTGGATTTGGCGTAGGCAAAGGATGATGATAGCTGGCCCGATTTTAGACCCGAAAGGGCGGAATTCCTTTCGGGCATCTTTATTTGTATGATCAGATGATGAAGACATTTTCGAATGTTGGTTTTCTCTCGCCTCCCTCTTTTTTGTTCTATTTTTCTTTTCTTTTGCTTAGGATTAGGAGGACGGTGATGATGCGGCAGTCTTGTGAATGCGTGTGTGTGTGTGTGTGTGTATGTTTGGGGGCGAATAAACGTGTTGCGTCTATCCGCCCCCCTCCCCCCCCGCTCAATATAGTTTTGGGAAAAAAAAACCATGTGTGTGACCTCGACAAGAGTTGACTTTAAATGACTCCATGAAATAATGATAATTCGACCTGTTGTTATTTTTATTTTTCTGCTTGCTCTCACTTGCTTGACAAATGGGCTAATCGTAACTGTTCTGTTTTTTTTCGTGTTCCAGCAAAACATTCCATAGTTGCTGTTGCTGTTGTTATTTTTCTTTTTCCTTTCTTTCTCCAAACACAAAGATATATCATGCTACATTGCAGTCTGCCAAATCTTGTCAGAAAGCTAGAAAACTCATTGCAAAGTAATGATTTTTTGCGTTTGTTGGTTGGAAATGTATGGGGTTGGTTATGCGTGTTTTATATCTGTCGTGGGATGATTGGAATTTTTTTTCCTAAGAAAAAAAAATGTTGTTTTTGTAATGGTTGTGCGCCATTTGGACTGATGTTTTCAAGATGGAAGGTGAGCAAAGGGAGGATTTTTTTTGTATGTCGTGCGATTTGAAACCAAGGTAGGGGAGTTGTGGTTAAAGAATTGCGCCGTTATATCACAGGTGTTGGGGAGCTTGTATTTGTGCCTGATTCAGAATTGTGAGGGTAATCTTTGGAGACTGTATATTGGTTTCTTCTTTATTTTTTTAAACTTGAATAATTCAGATTCTCTTTATAAGGTGCGGTTGTGTGAATGCAGTTACAATTTGTAAAGCTTACTTTCTCTCTCTCTCTCTCTCTCTCTCTCTCTCTCTTCTCTCCTGCTTTGAAGAGATATTTGCTTGTATTTGTATGTATTACGTTGTCACTTCATTAGTATATCATTTTTTCATGTAAATTTTAGAAGCACACTGAGATTCAGCTTTTCCCTCTTCGCAGAATATCTTCTATCAAAGACTTAAGGGGATTTTCAGGTACTTGGCTCTCATTGTGGGGTGGTGAAAGGGAGGAAGGTAAGCGGATGTATTGTTTGTGGGTTGGATGGTGTCATGAGGCTTTTCTTTGATGGGCGAAGAGGAATAGGGGCTGATAGCAATTCTTGAGGGCCGATAGATATGTCGGTAGATGAGCGTAGATGAGGAGTGGTGGGAAAATATGTACCGGGAAGGTGGGGGAATGGTAGATAGGCTGGGTAAACAGGGGACAGGTGCGTGGAAAAAAGGTTTTGGAGAGGGGTAAGGGGTAAAGGGGGGTTGCTGGTCGTTTGTGTCTACCATCCGACGAGAGACCAAAATTAGTCTATATGCTTATATGATCTCTGTGTTCATCAAGTAAGGCTTCAGTGGCAGATTACAGTGCTCAGATTTCTGGATTCAATTTGATCTACGGCAAAGTGGAAATCTCTCAGTTGGAGACCGGGGAGAGTAGATAGTCAGAAGTGTTAGGTGTTATCAAACCAATCCACGTCTGTTGAGAATTTTGCAAATATGCTTGGTTCGATATTGCTTGATGCTGTGATCTCCTAGCATGCTGTTCAGATCGGACTCACACTTGAAAGAAGCCTGGATCTGTGTATTAGTATAGTGTTCTTTCAGACTGAATTTGCGTGGCCGAACTGTCTTGTGTGAGGAAGGGGAAGGAGCGGTCAAGAGCAGCGTTAGACGAGGGGGAAGTAAGCAGTAATCGTATCAATGAAAGACTGTCAGATGCTGAAACAATTCAACATTCACGGTCAGGTGGGTATGCTTGGATCTTTTTCCTGCCACGTGCTTTATTTTCTCTGTGGGAATAGTTGAATCGCTATGTTCCTGCGGGGCGTACATGGGCTTTTTTTCTTGCTCAAAATACCCCCGGCAAGATTGGAATGTTGTTTTTTCCGTGTCAATTCCACAATCTCATATGAATTTTGAAAATTTGTCTCTTTCAGTCCAGCTTTGTTACTGTAAAGATACCGAGGCAAGTTTAGTAGACCCTGGATGCTCATTTGACTGGAGCAATCTCTCCATTCCGAGATTTTTCCCAGGACCCCGCTTCCAAGGGAAAACTCAGAGTCTGGACGGTGCTCTATCTCTGCTTGGGTTCGAATAGAAGATAGACAATGTTGACTCCGCCTTACGCGCGTTACAATCTGACACGCGTAGCCTCGGTGTGGTATATGTAGTAAGTAAGGCTGCACCCAATCGGCCCGAAAAAACAAGACATTATTGTGGCAAATTGCAGTCAGTGAAGGCTTGCTGTTGAAATCGTAACGGCGAATGCACCGGGCGTGGATGGTTATTTCTTGGAAACTGGGGTTGTTGCAGGCCGTCATGTGCTTTCAACACCAAAATACGGCCGTAGAAAGGTATGGTCCATTATCGGTCCGGGTACGCATAAGAATTGAGGGTCCTTCCTATTTGAGCTGTGTGGCGCCTAGAACCTGTTTCACGCCCACTCTCGACCACTCCTTCAACGTCACCAGATACCACACCCTTCAAGAGACGACAGTTCAATAACATGTCGTCGCAAATGACTCGCTCAACAGTCGTGATCTGCATCGTAAACGGGAGGGAACACGGGTCTGGAGTACCGGCCCACAAGGCCGCTCAGTGGACACGGCTCTGAAAGAGACGCACAGGACGAGGTACCTGGGGGCGGGAAAACAGCGGTTCATCCCCAAAATGGTACCACGACCGCTGCACGCGGCTCCGCCCCTACGAACGACCAAGAAAGAGATAGCAATCGTATGGTGGGTTACGAAAGCCGGACCAGCAAGGTCAGATCCACAGCCACTCGAACACCATATAGCCCCGCAGGGGTTTTGTCAACGACCGTTGTTGCAGGTGCTAGGATCCTTTGCCCCGCCTTCAACATGGCCTGACTCCCAACGGTATCAGGTCAAAGTTCAAGTCCAAGCATTTGCTAACCCATTTGATATATGTCCCGTTGGGTGTGGCTGCGATTGTGCATTCGTCCAGAGCCTCGGCACTCTCCACGATCAGCACCAATTCAGCTACTTTCAGTTTCAACCCTCCTGAATTGGCCCTCGACGACTGGTACGTGTTGGACGATTTTCGTCAACATGCAGCTATTTTAGAGAAGGCGTGTTTAGAGCCGGACCTCACCCATGACAGGAAATGACCACCGCTTCTTGTACTCTTGCAGTCCCAGTATAATGGCTCTCGACCACCACTACAACTTGGAACTACTCTACACATGGAATGTCCCATGGATCTCAACACCACATTCTCATTCTACAAGGCGCGTGTGACCCCCAGCCACCCCAAAGATGCTATCCAGAGCGAATTGGCGGTTACGTGGTCCAGTGTATATATTGCATCTGGCATGGCACATGATTTTGTGCAGGGAGTACATGTGGACCGATTCTTGATCTGGGTATGGCTCAGTGTAAGCTTGCCCAGGTTTGCTCATTGCCAAAATGAACTGCACATCCGTCCTTGGCAAAATGACAAGGTCTGCTCGAAGTGGCATTGCTTGTCGTTTTCATCTCACGATAGGCAAAACCCGGTATTTTTCACCGCTCTTCAAACTGTTACAAAATCCACCCCAAAGGTTAAACCCAGCACATATTAAGAGCATTAATCTCCGGAGCACGACAGTGCCGCGTTTTCCGATTGGACTCATCGAGTACATTGGCCTGGGCATTTTGGATACATGACCAACACTGAGGAGGTTGTCGCGCTCTACCCCGGTGCTACTGTGATGTTGGAAAGCAACTGGCAAACACCCCCGTTCTTGAACCCCCCACGCGACTTGCTTTGATTGAGATGGGTATGATCGGCTAAGAACCTCCATTGCACGTCTGCAACAAAGCCCGACCAGGCGTTGTAGCCACTTGTGCGATAGTTCGTATGCGTTTGTAGACTTTGGGCGAACACCATTGCACCTTCAAGGTCCGAGTTGATTGCTCATACATCGAATAAGTCTCAAGCGCTACATTGCAACGACGCCAGATGTTCTACCGTCACACAAATTACACACTTCAACTGTACTTACAATGAGCTTTAGATCATTCCCTTTTAGAGACGATTGTTGATAACGACATCATCAACGAAGCAACAAAGCGCCTACCATTTTGAGACACGGTTTCTAAACTTGCCGCCAATGGCACTCCGAGGTGCTATTGCCCTGTCGTGTTCTGTCGAATGACAGATAGAAGCGCCCTAAACTCTTGCCCTTTATGGCAGCTCTTGTTCGGGATCTACACTAGTATCATACCAGGATACTACACCCTGTTTTTGTTGCAGCGATTGTTACACTCTTTGCACACACTACACAAGAGATACATGGCATAAGCATCCACACACGCAGGGATACGCATATGATGAGACAGCTACCGGTGTCGGTTGCAGAGCGAAATTCACCGCCATCTACGTTTGAGATCGAAGACGTCACCACGTCATCATGTTCATAAGTGCCGAATTGGACTGCAATTGGAATCAATGGAATATACCGCTACTATACAAGCGACGATGCATTCTGGTCGACCACATTCTGGAGTCAGGCATAACATCGGGTAGCTGACAAAGTTCTGCGTGGGCGTAAATCAATACAAGGCTTGCCAAGAGCGCGGGGACAATGCGATTTTGGGTTACGTTACGGGCCGAAAATTGCATCAAGATGAACCATCACGCGTCTGGCTGCACGTAAGGCGTTGTATCCTAGCACGTAGTTGCCGTCTAGGTGAAACACTACGCCAACCTGAGTCGCTACCCGATGTCATCCTAAGGTGCGCTTCCAGAAACTAGTAAGAGCCGTTCGGCTTTATCTTTGACACTACAGTGTGACAGGCAGCCGGGTTTGATTGTCCGATTCACCTTCCACATTGCGGGCACAGTTGACCTCTGGTACATCTATGTGCATAGACGGCCACAGGCACGTGGCAAAGTACCGGTCAGTCTAGCAGCAATTGCCGGACACTAGGAAGCAAGGCGCGCAAAACGCATCGGTCCTCGCCGACCCTGATGTTTCAAGGACGAGCTCAAGGTTCACCCAAACTTGGGGGGCATTACCAATAATACGGATCGCCCAGCAGGGATCATGTCGATTACCACACGCTTTTGCCCAGGAACGGCGGATTCGAGGCCAACCACGAAGGATTGTTGGGGAAAAAAAATCGTTCCATTGCCCACAACAGTTAGGTTTTGCTCAGCTTGCAAGATGGGGCATTCTTGCACAACTCAACTCGGGAGTTGTGATAAGTAATGTCACGGCAGTCCCAGCGATGCGACACAGCGGGGGCGCATGGATCCTACAACGGCTGTGCAGCCACGTGCAGCACTTATCCAGTGATTCAAGTAACAGGGGTGTTAATCTGGTGGTCCTAACCCGTCAATTCAGCTGAGGGCCAGCATACGCCCCATTATAGCTGCCGCGGCAAAATAACAATTGCAATCCTAATCACCCCCTGAGCTACACTATGCGCCGTGGGGAGGCAAAGCAAGAGACCAAGCATTTGCAGACGAGAATTGGCTCATTAGTAGCCTATCTGCGTGCCACAATACTATTACTAGATATTGAACTGACATGGTTTCTTTCTGACTGGTGGGGAATCACAAAAGGCAGACCCGCCCATGGTTGCAAATCATGTCGTCGGGAAGGGTAGCCTGGGGATCGGTAATCGTCTTCGGACAATGGGCTTGTTTTGAGCAAGTGCTGGCAACGACCATCCCGCGTCATGCAACCGACATGCCGTAGTCTACTCCAAGACAGTTTCAAATTCTTGTCGATGGCTGGCTGTGCCTATGTACCGCGGGGTACATGTGCTGTATGCCGGCTATAATATCCGCGGATGCTCCCGAGCGCTGCGCCCCTTGCCTTTTGCCTTTTGCTTTTTGGGAGCCACTGTTTATTTTCATCTTTCTTTTTTCTGATTTCGTCTTCGAGTCGACTCACCGTTTCGGTGCGCGAGACGAAATGACCTCGAGGTTTCCCACGGCGGAGGAGTTCGCGTCGTTCCCGCCGCCGAATTATGTCAACCCAACGAATCATTTGCCCATGGCACTGGGCGTCGTCATTCCAATGAGTGTTCTGGTCACCGTTTTCATGTCATGTCGACTGTACTGCCGGACTGTTCTTGTCAAGACATTGGGATGGGATGATGGGTTGATGTCGATTGCTGCAGTAAGTTTGATATACTAAACCCTACTGATATTTGTTGACAGCTGACCACTCGCAGTTACTGTGTATCGGGAGCAATATCATGCTCATAATATCCATGTTGCCAGAGTACCAGATGGGCTATCACTTATGTATGCTTCTGCTCTCTGATATAACTAATTCCATCAACTGATCTCAAAAAGGGGATATTCATCCGGAAAAGCTCTATGGCTCGATGAAGGCCGCTCAGGTATGTTGGATAGAATACCAGGAGGTGCTCATGCTTACGCTTATCTAGATGGGTATGGCTACTCAGCTGCTCTTTACTGCCATCACGACTTTTATGAAAGTCGCCATTCTTCTGACCTACATACGTAAGTGGGCATCGAGCTACAAAGTCGACCAAACCGCAACCTGACACGGAGTGCGTAGGAATCTTTCCAGCCAAGCTCGATAGGTGGTTTTGCCATCTGATGATCTTCTACACAGTAACGCTCAACACAGCTTGCTTTTTCGTGACACTATTCCAATGCTCGTAAGAATCATCTTCGACTTTGCCTTGGGCACGAGGTACTGATAACGGGTATCACAGGCCGGCAAGCACCTACTGGAAAGTCTTCGAGTTTATTGGCACTGCCAAGTGCCTTAACATCAAAGTCATATACTATTTTCACGGCGGCCAAAATACCTTGAGCGACTTCATAGTCTTTCTGTGGCCCGCAAGAAACCTCATCAACGTCCAGGTGTCACAGCGGCAGCGGTTTACGCTGATTATGATGTTTTCACTTGGCGTAATGTGAGTCTCCTTTTGTCTTTCAGCTTGCAAATCCAACCCTAACGTCTCAATAGTGTATGCATTGCTGGAATTGTACGACTCTACTTCACGTATCGATACCTTGTTTCCTTTGACGCATTTTGTATGTCATTTTTTTCCTCTTACCTTGAGCGATCACATGATCCAGCCGAGCATAGATACTAAGACGATAACAACAGGGTACGGAGGCTCAGTCTTTATTATCATGTCCATCGAAAGCGCTGTGGGCGTCGCATGCGGATGCCTTCCAGGCTGCAAGCCTTTGATGAACAAAATGTTTCCGCGCATCTTTGCCAGCTCTTCACAGTCATCATACCCCCGTCGGTCGGCACATTTGCGTGCGCACAAAGGCATCCAAGAGTCTTTTTCGGGAGCACGTTCGGCACAAGCATCGTACAACCAGAAGGAAGATAACCCGAACGTAATGGAAAAAGCGATGCGACGAGATACACCGTCAAGTCATGAGGTAGTAGTAAGCCCGTCAAAACCACATCCTCAGCATCCAGGGCTACGGCCGCCCAGTCGAGCCGCGTTTCCCGGAGGAAGAAGAGAGGGATACAGCGAGCTAGACAACGGGAGCGACGACAGCATAGAAATGTTCTTGTTATTGCAGCGAAACTAGAAGATGTACATGATTCTTTTTTCTTGGGGAGTTTGCATTGATACCCTAAAACCCCCCGTGTTATGCCGGGCTCATGAATACATGGTTAGTAATTCCAGTCTTCTCCTGACCTGCTTGGATAACTCGGCCGGGCGGTAGAACTCCGGAGTCCGGGCTAGGCATCCGCATTGTGGTGATGTCGAATAACATGGATTCCGCGGGCCGATTGTGCAGACTACTACGACATATGACAGGATTAACTAGCATGTATATGAGGCGGCTGGCGGCGGGCGTATTTCGCAACAGTGGTTTTTGTTGAGTTTGTACCTGGTTATCGGGATGGGAAAGCATGGTCTATGCCTGCCGAGTGCCCATCCGGCCATGCTCCCCAGGGCAAAGCAGAATCCCTCGTCGGTCGGTTGGGATCCCATTCACCCAAACCGCAGAGCACAGACTAGTACATTTTGCGCACTACTAGGCGAGATGATACGTGCCCAGTCGGCCACAAGGGACAAGGATCTATCTTGCAAGAATAGCACTGCACCAGCCCCCAACCCCGCCCATGCTTGACCACATTACACGCATGGATCATTTCCTTCATCCGCTTTTTTTGTCCTGCCTTGCTCTCCATCTATTCTGCTGTTGGCGAATTAGTGAGCGCTGTCGCCGTCGCGGAGTAACGAAGCGTGACACTGGATGCAGATGGCGCCATGCATGCCAAACTCGACTAGTCCATGTGTTGCTGCAATCGCGCGGCCAGCCAGAGAGCCCAAAGCCGAAACGGACCGGTGGTGAAGACATTGATTCATGCTTTTGCGACGTGGGTTAGATGCCGTGAGGCGGAATCGAGGCGACTACGGAGGAATGAGGGGTGTCCTTTCTCTTTTACTCCTACTGCATATGTTTTTACACGGTGCTTGTTCCTCGCCATCATTCTTGCAACACTCCTTCCACTAT